CGACTCCGACAATCTAGTTTTCACTAGATCATAAGCGACGGAGTCGTAAACGGAATCGGAAGAAATGGAATCGTTCCGATTCTTCCGACTCCGATTCCGTCAAGCTTATGACTCCGCTTACGACTCCGATTTTTGATTTTCACTAGGTCGTAAGCTCTCTTACGACTCCGACTACGATTCCGACTACGACTCCGTCGCTAGTGAAAACTAGCCTTAAGTGTGGCTATTATCGTGACCTGGGACCGAAAAAAGGAAGAGAAAAATTTACCACATAAAGTACTGTAGTTTCTCCTTATGAAATTGAGCTCATAGACTTCAGAAGTCTAGAATGCTGACCCTCATGTCGCTTATGGAAATGAAAGACGATATGAAGATTGAATATGATCCGAACAAACTCTAAAGTAAGACGCGAAAATGGAGCTTGTGTTCCATTCCTTTCCGAGAAAAACGCATTTGTTATTATGTCCATAAACTTTGCTGTGACTCGCTGTTTTAGTTACAAACCTGTCCAACGTAATTGAATCAATAAGAGTAAGGGAACAGTTCTTTTAACAAATCAGGCGCAAACGACAACCAATGTTTTGTTGGGTTCAATGCTATTTTTCCCGCGCTTGGCGCGGGTTGCATGATTACGCTTCGAATTGTGATTGGCCCGTCGTGCTTTTTACATTTGTTGTGATGAGATTTGACGGTGATCCACGAGGAGACAGACTTTAGCAAATCACTTTCCTCATAACGTACACAGCAGTTGTTTTCTTAGCATAACCATAACTTCCCAATCACACGACAATATATCGATAAATATGGAGAAAACTGAAGAAGGGCATCTTGTAAAACAATCCTGAGTAGTGACCAAAGTCTCTTTTTTTCGACGAGGAAACAGCTGTTCCCTCGCGAAACGTTTCGTTGTTGTCCACTTGTCGCTCTGTTTTGTGATTTACAAAAGTAATCTCTTCCAGAGAAGGAGGGTGGGAAGACAATTCACAGAACGACTGGAAATCGAGCTTGGTATCAAATCTAATAGTGGAAAATATATACAATTTTCTGTTTTTATTTCAGGTATCTTGCAGAGACCTTCCATATTCCGGTAATATATATTTCAACACAGCGTGAAAAGATAACCTTTAATACTGCTGTTTAAGCTGACGTAATGCTGTCGTAAATGTCTCATTTAAGCAGCTTTACGCTGCCTTCACTACTAGCTCTACGCTTACGTTTAAAGCTTCGTTAAAAAGACTAAAACTTGAAAGCGAATTTTGTTTTTTTAAATTTTAACTCAGAGTTATGTGTCAACTTCACGCCAGCTTTACGTTACCTTTACGCACGATAGCGTCGATGTTCGCTTTAAAAACCTTTAACGACACTTTACTTTAAAGCTGTGCGACCAGTTGTTGGGAGATTTAAGTTAAGTTGATTTTCCGTAATTTCCCATTTTTATGCTGTGCGCGAACGTTCGGTAATGTAGACACTGGAGTGCAATGGGATCTGACCTGCCTATTCCCAACCAGCAAAGCGCATTCAACAACATAAACGAAACAAACAAAGGTTGAAATGAAGCAACTGAAGACAACCGGCCTTCCTTGCTCGCAATGCACACAGACTAAAATTTCTTTACCTAGAAATTCATCATTCTCGTCCCCAGGGTCTCTTATCTTCCCGCCCTCCTCTCTCGCTCCGGGAGGGCGGGAAGATGAGAGACCCTGGGAACGAGGCTGGAAATTCATATCTTGTTTTGCTGATGTGCCTGTATTTTGATATTTGTAAGCATGTTATGACTGGCTCCAATGGAAACAGGGAGTTTTGTTTCCCCGAGACCCTCGCCGAGGGGAACATCGCGGGGAAACAAACTCTCTGTTTCCCTTGGGGTCAGTCATAATCTCGAACCCAGATCTCCCGCGGCCAGGTGGAAGGGATATTACTTTTCGGCGTCAAACAGAGTGAGATCTGGGTACGAGATTAGGTCAGTCATTAGGTGTTTTGTTAAACATCCCAACTCAAAAATAGAAAATCCGCAAAAAAAATTATTTGCCTGACGCAATCTGGCACAACAAATTTGCCGGACTCTCATAGTACACGACCTGATCACGTGCGATTCGAAAGTACAGTAAAGTTGTTGTTTCCCAAGGGAGTTTAATAGTGAGGTTTAATGCTTTAGGGAGTTAGTGAGTTTTGGCCCATGACATGTGACACGTTTTCCTCCGATCAGAAAACGTATTTGAGTTTGGAGGTATAACAATATGGGTTTGCTGTGATTGTTTTAATCCGCACCGTTCAGTTGTGACTGGAAGGGTGTATACTTCGAAACGTGTTCGTGTGGATGATGGGGTCTAGTTTTGAATGGAAAATATTGTGCAAGCGTTGTTATGTCTTTATTTTTCTTAGGTAGTCGTTACAAATCAGATCACAACTCGTTTCGTTAACGCGAGGAGTTCCAGTGGAAGTGCGGCTTTCCAGGACGTTGACGGCGCGGACGCTGAGCCGGACGATGATGACAGCAGTCACGTGACAGCGGCACTTGGTAACACGTGGTCACACGCGGTGAACACTCGCCTGATTGTACAATATATGGACGAAAGGTTTCGTCAGGTAGAACTTGAAATTCTTTTCTTTAGCTCGCGCATTCCTTATATTCTTGTGTAACAGAAATAAAAGAAAAAAGTTATAGGAAGTCATTCACTTGTAAGAGTCAATTTTTCATTCCTTCGTTTTTTTCTTTCTCGTTGTCAAACAAGGTTTTGATTTCCAAATCTCCAGTGGCTCCGTTTGCGTCGTTTGTGTACACAATCCATGCACAAGGAATAGTTCTGGAGCGTCAAGATCCTCCAGGTCAAGGTGACTTCATGAGGAAAATATCGATTACTTTCTTTGAAATAGTTTACGTGGTGTGTGTGAAATTATTGAGGAAAAGATTTCTGGTGTGGTTACTTTCTCTGTTTTTTTTCCTTCATAGCGTGAAAATATAGGGAAACGATATTTGTTATTTGCCATGAAACATGTGTTAACTTGCCTTTGTGTACAATCTCAAAAGTGTATGATAGTATTCGATCGTTGCCATTGCGAGTCATCGTCATTGTCCATCCAAAAAATAACTTTTAGTAGCCACAAAAATATTTAGCTTCCAAAGTATCGAAAAGTCAATTCCGAGAAAAAAAATCACTTTGTTGATGACGCTTCGAAGAAAAAATTATTCAAAACTCTCGGCTATAAGACGAACCCCCCTTTTTGGAAAAAAATTCCCAAAACTGAGTAAAATTTTTTGCAAAAATCGCTCGGCTTATAGGCAAATAAATATGGTATTATAACATATTTTGATGTAAATGACGCAAAGTGGCCCAAAATGGCTTCCTTGAAGGATATTCGCACTGAAACAACTGCCAATGCTTGTTTGTCTTGGCAAAATTTTTTAGTCCTATTACTTTAAAATGATCTCTGTAGTCTCTGAATTAGATTTACTGTAGCCATTGCCACCTGACCATAAAATCAACCAATAAGGGGGTATCTGGTCATCTCGCCACCAGGGAATTTTGCCACCAACAAACTCGCCACCAAACACCAAGAGGAAAATATACTAGACTAAAGTAGTCAAGGTGTTTTACAGCTGTAGCTGTTCGAGTGACTACAATGTCAATCGACACGTAAGTTTGTTAGCTTGTCTGTTTGCAACTTTTGATGTCAATGTGTTGTCGGTGACATGATACAATATGTGTTCCGTTGTCTAATGAGAAACAATAGCTTTCTAGAATTCAACTACATATTTCTTTGAGAACTGACTGTGTTGTTATTGCTCAGTTGCTTTGCTGCTGCATTTGCATTTAAGCTTACCTAAGTGTTTTATAAAAGGCTTCAGCTAAACGATCAGACAACTTCAACCTTACATGAGCTGTGTGAGTTATACAGCTACACAAAGTAGAATGAAGTTCAGTCTCTTCATCTTGCAGTTTACTGTTATTAGATTGTTAGTAATTTGGTGGTGAGGGGACTTTGCTTGGTGGCTAGTTCGTTGGTGGTGAGACTTCCTGGTGGCGAGGTGACTGGTAATCAACAAGGGGGTGTATTAGATTCAAATTAGCTCCAGCTATATAACAAACATATGCTGTTTAGTAACTGGGTTCCACTGCACTGACAATGAACAGTGCTTGAAATTAGCGGTCGTCCGGTCATCCGAGACGACTAAAGACTGGTCAGGACCACCATTTTTCTGTAAAATTAGAGGCCTGGTTGTCTGAGGAAAATAACACCGGACAACCCAGGAGAAATTGAAGTGCTTACCATTACTTTGAAGTCCAACCGAATAACAAAATAAAGGTATATAAAAGATTTAAATCTGCTGTTTTCGTTCATTGACGGAAGCTGCAAACCGCCATGTTTTCACACCCAGGCCTCCCTGATACCTTATGGCGCACAGGTAATCATTCTTTTCTGAGGCAAAGTACTTCGCAAGTTGTCAAATATACATTTACAGGTAGGAAAATTCTGGTAATTAATTGGGGCTGTCAGAGATTAGCTAGCCAGTTTTTCTGGGTTATGAACCAGGCCATTATTTAGAGTAAATAGAGCCAAGACAAACAAGCATTGGCAGTTGTCTGAGGAAAATAACAATGGAACATCGAGGAGAAATTGAAGTACTTACCATTACTGTGAAGTCCAATCGAATAACAAAATAAAGGTATATCACAGATTTAAATCTGGCGTTTTCATTCCTTATTGGACGAACTAACGCGAAAGTGTGAACATCCTGCTTGAATGATGTTTCAAGGAAGCCATTTCGCACCACTTCACATCATTTACGTTTATAATTAAGCAACAAATTATACAATATTTTAAGGGCAACCAAGCAGTCATCAGGACAACCAGAGCAAGGGGTTAGGTTGTCCTGCACTTGGAATAAGGACAACTTGGATATTTTTTCAATTTTGAGCACTGCTACAGTAATACAAATTTATACTCGCTTCTGGTAATATTTGCTGCAAACCATCTAAGGAACATTAAAAACAAAATACTACAGAAGATTGCTAGTTTTGGTTTTGCCTGATAACTCAGATCTTGGCCTCGCTCTTTCTATCTATACTAATGCAGTAAGCTAATTATTTAATTTGGCATAGACAAAGATATGGCTTGTGGATGACTTTACATTGGGAAAGTTTTAAGATATTATGTTCTGGACATAAAAACTGCTTTTGCAGTGTCTATCAGTCTGACTAGCGATTTTTATCAACCGGGTTTAGAGCAATAACATAACCAGAACATTTAAACAACAATATTAAGCTTAAACATAAATAACTCAACACTAAACAGTTCAAATTAACATTAGTTTAGATCACAGCAAAATAAAAATGCTTCCCTTGCAGTCAAATTTCTAGCGTCACTGGGTAAACCTTGTCAAATTCACAAGAAAAAAGGCTAATATTGCCACGCACTAAAATTAAAACATGTCCAACAACTAGAGACTACAGGAAATAAAAATATTTAGACAGTAATACCTGAAAGCTTTTGTGTTGCACGATACTTAAGCTTACAAGTTTTATACACTTCAACAAACCAAGTCGGTACAAACTCCCGCAGGGGTGCTCATTGTACCTTTACTTGATTTGCACGTAAGCTCATATGCGTATCTTAGATGAAAATTACTAATACTTTGACAGAGCGATCAACAGAGAAAAAGTCACGGTGAGAGGACATTGCTAAATGTATTCACTTACCAAAACATTTGAAGAAGGCGCTTCATCGAATATCCTTAGCAGCTGATCCGGTGTAAGCGCACTTCTTGCCATAACCCTTGTCCAAAATAAGAGAATTCAGCGAAGGCCGCAGAGCACTTCCGTTTTCCGCTGTATTGCTTTCCCTTCCGCCATCTTTCTTTCTGTCGAAAAAATCACGTGACAAAATAGCCCCGAGAAGATGCAGAGTTCTCACAGAGATTCTAATTGGACAAGAGATGATGAACCAATTGGAAGTCTTCTAATATGTTTCACTGCTGCCAGCGTGCTGGGATTTCACAGAAAATGATGTAATATTTTCCAACGGTTGTACATCCAGAAACTTGCTGAATTTTCCTTACTATTTTTCGTTTCGCCTTGAAACTAATCAGGAAAGCCAAGGCTAGACTGATCACTATGCCCACAAGTAGTTCATTAGCGAAGAAATTCACCATTCTTTACGGCTCACAGACTGGTCAGGCTAAGGCGATCGCTGAGGAGATCCACGAGTTTTCAGAACACCATGGTCTTCTCTCGAACCTATTCTGTCTCAGTCTAACCGAGAAAAAGTTCACCTTGGAAAAAGAAGCCCTGGTTGTGTTCGTAGTGTCAACGACTGGCGAGGGTGACCCACCAGACACCATGTGCAAATTCTTTAGAAGATTGAAGAAGAAGACTCTGCCTGGTAATCATTTGGAGAGTTGTCGTTACGCTTTGCTGGCACTAGGCGACACCAACTACACAAACTTCTGTAACAACGGGAAGGCCCTGGACAAGAGATTACTACAGCTGGGGGCTCGACAGATATACGACACTGGTTATGCTGATGATGCAGTTGGTTTAGAATTGGTTGTAGAACCATGGATTGAGGGGCTGTGGCCAGCCTTGAGAAGCCATTTGGGCCTTCCACCAGAGGTTGACTCTCAATCAGATGGCAAGACTGCAGATTGTGAAGTTAGTCATATCATAGATCCAATAGTTATTGGTGAGAACAAATCTTCTGAAGTTACTACCAACGAAATCTTAGAGAACAGCAATAGATTTTCTTATATGACAGATGCACGCGATGATGTTAGGAATGGTCATGATTCAAACTTGCAAGACAGAAGTGCTGATGCCGTGTTAGAACCAACAGTCATGGTGAACTCTGTTGATGATCAGAACACATTGGCAGTGGGTAACAACAATTCTCAAGATGACAGTGCTGCTGTTATTTCAGTGCTAACTTTAGCAGACCAGTTAAAACAATCTGTTCCACCCTTATCAGCTAGTGTGTTGTCTATACCTCAGGTTCCGCCCCCTTATTTAGAGATCAGTTATCACCCTGATCACAACCTTGATTGTACTATGTTACCACTACAAGGTGGTGCTAGCTTCCCAAGTGCAGTGACTGACATCTCCATGGCAACTGTGGTATTGGCAAGGCAACTAACAGACAGTACTTCCATCAAGACTGCCTTAGACCTAGAGCTTGACATCACAGGTTGTAATATGAGTTATGAGCCTGGGGACTCTTTTGGAATTGTCTGTCCAAATGCAAGTGCTGAAGTCGAAGAACTGATAATGAAGCTGGACTTGGTAGATAAAGCTGATGTTCCTTTCACTATTCAGCTTACAACCTCAACAACCAAGAAGGCAGCTAGTGTGCCAAATTTCATTCCAGAGTTTTCTACCATCAGGCACACACTACTAACGTGCTTGGAAATCAGAGGTGTCCCAAGCAAAGCTCTTATAAGGGTCTTGGCTGAGCACACTAGTGACCCTCAAGAGAAAAGGCGACTTCAAGAAATTTGCAGTAAGCAAGGTGCAAGTGATTATACCAAGTTCATAAGAGAGCCTGGATTATCCTTGTTGGACCTTCTTAATGCCTTTCCATCCTGTCGACCTCCATTTGAAAGGCTGCTTGAACTTGTTTCACGCCTGAAGGCACGTCCTTACTCAGTGTCAAGTTCTCCCTTGGAGAATCCCAATCATCTACATTTTGTCTTTAACATAGTAGAGTTTCCAGCAATTAAAGGAGTAAGGCCGAAAAGACAAGGTGTTTGCACGGGCTGGCTGGCTGAGATTACCAAAGCACAAAGAGAGAAAACAAACACAAGCAATGACAAGCTCACTGATGACTTATCAAAACTGACTTTGCAAGAGTTTCCAAAAGTGCCAGTCTTCCAGAGGAAAAGTCTCAATTTCAAACTACCAAGTGTTCCGGAAACACCAATCATCATGATAGGTCCTGGCACAGGAGTAGCACCATTCGTAGGCTTTTTGCAGCACAGGGAACACATGCAAAAGAACACAAATGTGGCTCTTTCCGAATCATGGCTATTCTTTGGCTGCAGGCACAAGGAAAGAGACTACCTCTACCGAGAAGAACTTGAGCAGTTCTTGTCTACAGGTGTTCTGTCACGTCTGTTCCTCTCCTTCTCCCGTGATACCATCAGTGATTTGTCTGGGAAACCACCACCAAAGTATGTACAGGATAACTTGAGAAGTCATGCTGCAGAGGTAGCTGATCTGGTGTTCAACAAAGGAGCAGTGGTTTACATCTGTGGGGATGCTGAAAACATGGCAAAGAATGTGTTTGATACTTTTCTGGAGATTGTTCAAGAGCACAAGAAGGTAGACATCAAGGAAGCAAGACAGGAAATGATGAAGTTGCGTGAAAACAAGCAATACCTTGAGGACATTTGGACATGAGCAGCGGATCTACTGTGAAAGGAGATGGCTACTTTTATTACCTTGGATGGCAAAGTTCTATTCTGAATTCTACAAACTGTGCACTATGGGGGCATGAAAGCCAGCCATAAAGACAAACCCAGAATGGGAAAAATAACTTTTTTCACCTCTTTGTAGTGGACAATTGAAGGCTTCATTATTAGCTGCACATGCACATATACATGTACATGTAGGTCAGTCAGTCATCAGTCATTTTATCACTATGACTGCAGTTTTTTGTTTTTTTTTAACCTCATTGGGGGTTTAATGACCAGGGTTCACTCCACTGTACTTTTAATTTATCAGAATGTTATTGAATGAATTCTACCTTTCCAAAAAATGAATGTAAAATTTTAGATTCCTTCACAACAGTCTTGACATTCAGGTAATGATTTTCCCAATTTAATAAGAAGACCTTTTAGAACGAGCTATTTCCTCAGTAGACTTCACGAACTGAGAATCTTATTTGTAGTTGGGTCATGAAATAGACGCTGACCTGTAAGTATTAAAAAATATCTATCCAGCATGGGATATTGTGGGCTTTGTTCCATACTATAAAGTTTCTTTTTTATATCAGAGTTATATGTTATATGTTGATTTACCTTCTGAGAGTAATGCTTTGCATGATAATATTTCCCATTTAACCCCTTGAGTGCCTCGCCATTTTCACCGAGAATGGCTGTCTAGTATAGAACTTCAAATACCATAGGCAAGTTCACTTAAACTGCTGTTAATTTTGTTGAGGTTGACATAATTTGATATAAATATCATATAGGCACCTGAGGGGAAAAAATCATGACATTTGGATGTGTCACATAGGGACTCGAGAGGTTAAATTCAGGAATCTTATAGTGATGGCCAAATGTTTGGTTTATTGTTGGCATTCTGGGAGATCAGCCACAGGCTGAAAGAATGGGCAACATCTTGGCACCTTTGCAAATGACAATATCAACATGATGCATCCCTTTGTGGAAAGAAAATTTTTAATTGCTTATTTCATTACTCTCAGGTCAATTACATGTATTGTAGGCTAATTTAAGCAAGACTTCGGGTTTGCTTCATTTGTGGCATGTCACAGTCATGCTGTGCGAAAGGCTTTTGTTGATCCAGTCACAGGCAAAAATATTTTGGCATTGTACCCAGGGTACAACTCTGTTGTTGGATTGCTGGAAGAACAGCACTGAGCTGAAGGAATAACCAACTATTACAGTTTGAAAGATAGTTTTGAACAACAAATTTTGCCTTGTCACTATTAAGTAGACCTGTTGCACTCTGTTTAGCAAATATGCATCCTGTAGTGGTTGCTGCAATAAATAAATCAAGCCAGTTTTCAGGGTTGTAATTTATTTAATGTGTCAGTTGTTAGAAGGGTGTACCAGTTGAATCCTGAAATGGCCTGTGTGAGCAAACATCAAGCACTCAGTAGTTCACCACCCATCAGTCATAAGAATTTGTGTTAGTTCCTACAACTATTTTATTGTGGTTGCAGTGAAAAGCATGAAAAGGGGATGATCTGTGGCCAGTCGATCATGTCCCTAGAGCCCATGCATTCCCGGTCAGCAGTGACTGAGTACTCTGTCTGCGCTGGACGAAATCAAAAACTGGACCCAGAAAATCCTGGTTCCAGTTTGGTTGTGTGGATACATCAAAGTCACGAAGATGGTATCTGAACAAGAGCTGACGTAAATGCTAGCTCAACTTCAAATTTTGCCCAGAGGTCTTGACTCTTTCCACTCACTAGGAAGACAATAGCATCTGGGAGACAGAAAGGTTTTGATTCCCTGAGACTCTTGATGTCTTGTCAAGGGGAACATTGAGGGTCAAGGGAAACAAAACTCATGGTTTCCCTTGGGGCCAACAGGTTCCCTATGGGCCAGTCACTAAGTGTTTCATTATACCTCCCAACCCAAAGCTAGAACAACGTGCGAACAAATTATTTGCTTGACACTGAGTGGCACACAAATCTGCTGTGGCTTCGAGGTGCCCTTGGGGCCAGCCATAAAGTGTTTCATTATACCTCTCAACCCAAAGATAGAACAACCTGCAGAAAAATTGTCAGCTTGACACAGTGGCACAAATTTGCCACGGTTTCAAGGTGCACAACCTGATTAGTGTGAGTTGAAAGTTCAAGTTGTTGTTTCCCTAAGGAGTTTTGACCCATGACATGTGACATGTTCTCCTCCAATCGGAAAAAGTATTTGAGTTGGGAGGCACAATGACAAGTTGTGTAGGCTGTAAGAGAGACAGCTGTAGTCATTCCTGAGCATTGTATACGGTTCCAAGATCTTTCAGCCAGTAAGTGCCAATCTTTGGGTTGTGTGCTTTAGCACAGTCAACCTCATATACTTTATTCCAATATTATTTTGTTATATAACTCTATATAACCATGATAATCTGTTTAGGAGAAAATATGTAAACTTTCTTCAAGTGTAAATGGTTATTGTGTGATTTCTACAATAACTTCTTATGACTAAACAAGCAGTTTAGATTTTTTTATTTGCAGAGTTCACTCATATTCTCATTTTAACTTTTTCAAGGGGAAATATCTCATACACATGTACCAGTGGTGGATCCAGACCTTTGGGGAGGCGGGGTGTTGCTTGCCCTGCTGGCTTTTCTTCCTTCTGCGATTTTTTTTTGTTACCTAAGATAAGCAAGGGCCAGGGCCCCCAGGGCCCCACGTCTAGATCTGTCACTGTGTACCTCATACATGTTATAGTTAGTTTTAGGATTTGTTATGTTGAAGCAGTCCTGTTACTTTGTACATTGTACAACAGTCAGCCAAATCTTTCAAATAGGTTTGACAAGTTTTTCAAATACAGAAGAACCTTGGAGCTTATTCACAGTCAACCAAATGATATTTGTAAACTCTCTTCTACACGTAGGTTCTACTGGTTACAAAGGTTGCTTGCTCCCTTCCGGAACACAAACAAACTCCTGGGAAAACCTCTTGGCCAAGCAACCCTTTACAAAATGCTGTTCCCTGTTCTTTTCCATTTTTCATGAAACCTAAAGTCCCTTTATCCAAATCAAGCAGAATTCCTATCATATCCCAGGTGTGATAACTTTCATTGCACTTGCCACCTAGGGCCTCCCAGATGGGAACATCAAATGTTAGGAATCCTATTTGATTATATGCCCATCCCACTCTCCTGCCAATTGCTGGCATCGTTCTGAATGCTTTAGCCTTCTTGAATTCAGCAGTTACAACACAAACTGCAACTTGACCTCTACAGTGGTTAAAGTAGAACACCCACTCATGCTTCCCGTGGGTGTAACCACGGCCATCAGGTGTAAGAATCAGGGTTGTGCTGTAGCCATTACCTAGTAAAAAAAAAAGAGACTGGTTAAAATTTTTGCTCAGGGGAACATCCCACACGTGATTTATTTATTTATTTTATATATTACCAGTATTCATTAATTTGTAAATAGTTTTAACTTAATGTAGTCAAGCTATATTTTATTGTGTAAATAGTGTCCCCAATTAGTTTTTTAAGCTTAATACTATTGACACTTTAATTAAGTCTTTCATTCATTCATTTTAGTGGCAAGGGATGAGGCAGTTCGGATGATGTTGTGTATGCCTTAGCTGTATCGATTTCAGGCTGGTATCTTTTAGGGGTCAACAGCTTGAGTCATATCCAAATTAGTCTCCTGAAGGGCTTTAATTCAATTTTTTCCAAATAACATCCACACCCCTTGCCTCTATCCCACGGGAGTGCCCCCTTAATGGGGGGGAGGGTGGGGGGTGCTTACATCCAAGGGAATGAGACAATAAATAGTTGCATAAGGTTAAGGCAAACTAGTTTCTATGTTTACAAACTGTGATTAGGATCATAGCATAATCATACCATTATGCTATGTTATTTTGGGAATTGAGCAATGATCTTAACCAGAGCACTATGAGTACAAAAAAGATACAAACTAAGGTTTTATATTCGAAGTAAATTAAAAAATGCCACCATAGACTTCAACTTCAAAACAGCATTTTTGCTTGGAGCTGACCATTGAAAGTGATAGTTTCGTTGTTGTTGGAGAACACCACTTCATCAGAGCTACAGCTGGGATCGAATGCTACTGGTTCCTCGTACTCCTTTAGCCATCCGATGACGTTTCGGGGAAGAGGGAGTTTGGGAAGGCGCTTTCTGCTTCCCACAGACCGGATGAGGACACGGCGACACTGCTCTTGGAGACTTTCACAGCACTGGAACATTCACGCCAAGCTTTTCCTTAACCTTATCACTGAAAAGGAAACCATCGAAAGAAAAAATTAAGTTGACGAAACAACTTTTTGCTTTTCATTGTTTGTTGTTGTTCCAATAGGTAACCTCTCGTAAGGGCTTGGTTACCAAGCTTTGCAACAAGATGGCGCGCGCGCGCGCCCTTCGCGTGTTTACGAATTCCAGCTAAATTATATTAGTTCAAAGGGCAAAATCAGGAGCTAACAGAATGGACTTCCGATAATCTACGACTGAGCTACACAAGGGCATATACGTAAAAATGTCGTCTCGAAAACTTCGCCGTGTTGGGGAAATACGACCTGAAATCGTTGAAAGACTTGCCAGACATCGGATAGTCACCTGCAAGGTAATCGTCATTTTATAGAACAAAAACCAAACAAAAATATAAAACATAAAAGTAGGGAAAGAGCGGTTGCAGGATATTATTCAAGTCTGGTGCACTAATGCGAAAAAACATACGTTGTTTGGTACTTCTTACAGACTAGGGCAAGCTAACAACATGCTGGGAAGGGGAGGGGAGGGTGAGGTGAGGTGGCAAGCAGCTATTGATAAGTATGCTAACCAGGTGAGAAAGAGCAGCAGTACACCTAGATGGTCCACTGCTCTGGTAGTGTGCTCCACTTTTGCCTGAGCTAGTATGGACTTCAATATTCTAAATTTTAGCCGAGTTGGGAAACTGCACCTACCACACCCACACCCATGTCTACCTGTGCTAACTCATGCTGTGTTTTACTAGCCAGTCAGTGTGAAATGAAGACTGTGGACCCGGGGTTAAATGCAGACTGAAGATAAAATGCAGATTGCAGACTACAGACTTTTTAAAGTATATATCATGCTATATCTATAATCTTATAATTTGAGTGCTGACTGTATTGATACACAGGGTTATTCAGGCTGATTGCAGTAAAAGTCTGCACTCTTGTTAGCCTGAACATCACTCTGGTTAGATTGAATATCACTCCAGTCAGCCCGAGTGTCACACAAGTTAGCCTGAATATCACTCAGTTTAGCCTACATAATGCTCCAGTTAGCCTGTTTATGGTTAGCTCTCGATGATGGAAATGGTAATTCTATTCAGGGTCTGCAGTCTGCATTTTGTCCCTGGTCCACAGTCTTCATTTTACACTGACCGTTTTGATAGCTCAGTTGGTAGAGAACAGTATTAAGGAGGTGGTGCCNTTGCAGGTGTTTCGTTACGCGCGTTATGTTACACGCGTTATGTTTCATTTTGCGTGTTACTCACAGAAAGGATCCCGTTAATAAATCACGGTAAACTACTAGAGAGATGTGCTTATTCATTGTTCTTTAGAAATTTGTCAGTCTTGCTTTGTCATATGAAAAGCCAATTTCGATAATTTTAAAATTCTAACGTGGTTCCGAGGCCTAGGGGGAGTAAAACAAAAGAAACTGCATCCAGGTCGAGGGACGAATAAGTGATTCTTTTGTTTCATTCACCCAAGCCAGGCAGCCAAGTTAGCATTTTAATATATCGAAATTGGCTTTTTAAAGACCGTACACAGAAGAAAGAATAAATCTTACCATTACAGCGGTTTCTTTAGCTTTGGTCAAAGTTTGTTATTCAGCTTTAGAAGTCTATCACTGGGTCGTGCCATGCTAAACTACAAGTTGTTCTGTTTTTTACTGTTTCCTGATAGTTTTCAACACTCTCACAAACTTATAACAATTTTGATTTTCATATATTTCATTACTTCACACCACGGTACGGAAGGTAATCATATTTAGCACTCTGTTGACCGAACATGCCTGGCGGGATCATTACTTTGTTGTGAGCTTTTCATTTCCCCCTTCTTTTCCTATCACGACATCAGTTATTTTTCAGGCTCTTCCATTTCGCCCTGCATTTCTTTTCTAACTGCTTCTGTGCTCCGGATTTAGTCGTTTTATGTAGTGGGAAGGTCACATGTACAAAACCATGAACATTTCGGGCGATGTTGCGGCCTATTATGATAATAATTATGGCGGAAATAAAGGAAAAAATTTAGGTTTCGGAGGTTTTGTGGCACCCCGTTCCTTGTTTTAGTAACACCCACGCCAGTTTGGAAGAGCTCGATTGCTTTACAAGAGAGCTAGGCATTTGGGATAGTGACGTCATTCTGATAAACCCCATAATTGCTGGCGGGTGTGGGGTGCGTACAAAGAGCTCAGCATTGAATTTTACTTAGACGAGCATAGCGCTAAATTTCTGTTTGTAACGCAGGCCACGTTTGGCAAAGTTTAACATTTTATTTTGCTGCAATGACGAAGTACGATGTTTAAACCCGTAAAGTCGATGTCCAATGTGGAAAGCCCGATGTTGACTATTGTGAAGTTGGATGTATGTTTAGTTGCACATTCGATTTTTAGTGCAGATGGAACACCACAAAACTAGCTTTCAGTATTGGAAAAGTCAGACCTCTCAGAGAACCAATGAGAATGCTCTTTTCCATCGTGGACAAGTTTGTCGTAAAATAAAATCCCTTTTGGGTCATAAGATGGGGTACTACTTTTAAAAGAGGCCGAGGAAGTTTATCTTCAGATCTTTCGGACGTTATTTCATTCAAAAGAAGATTTAGGTAAGTTAAGTTACCTTTATCTTCTCGATCTCTTGTTTGATTACATTGCTTGGCCCGGTCCACCCAATCTTGTCCCGTTGACTCGGTCTTTCTCATGCGAGCGTGAAGTACGAACAAGCTGCTGATCACAGGCGTGCAGGCTCGACATCATAAGTTAGTGACGTCATGACCGGAAATTCTCGTCATAAGGAGCCGCGATCCTTTTGGTCAGCACCAAGAAACATGTTGGATTTTTGCCCAACAGGCACAACGGTTACCAGGGAACCAAACTGCTAGCGATGTGCCATTGATCCTCAGCGTTGCAGGAAAACTGGAGGCGGAAACAGGGAAAATTATGATGTTCTAAGAGTTATCTCTCTTTCAGACCAAGAGTACTGGCTGTAGACGGTACATTTTTCCACCGGATATCCATAAAGGAATACATTTGTCGCATTCAGCACAATTCAGGGCTTTTCTTTTCACGAGAGACTGCTTAAACTGCATTTTAACATTTCCGCTGCAACAGACTGAACTATCCTAGCAGTGACTTAAAAATCGGGCTGTAAGGAAATCACTGAAACTGCCACGGCGGCGATACTTTATATTCTTTTCCGTCCATTCAAGGACGTTTTACACCGCAGCGCACGACATTCAATATTTATTCATTCACAGAAATAGATACTCTCTATTACTCATCTTCCCGGCGTTCAAGAACCGTGGAGCTTAGCGGATGGAAACAATTTTCCGTTTAACCTTGCGATTTTTTTTATCTAACCTTTCACACGTTTACCTATCAACTGGCTTTTAATTTGGTTTACTATTCGATTGAAGTAAAGCCAAATTTTTGTTGCAGATTTTCGCGGACTTTGGAGTAGGATTAGGGACTTGGATATGCTGACACGTCTTGGCTTGTCACGGAAGAACCATTGTGAACAATCGAATGCTTTCAGCCTTTCGACGGAATAAGTTGACGTTGTCATGTCAAATTTCCTTTTAACTTTGTAGCAAATTCAAAGAGGCTTCCAAAACCCCCAACTGCAATGTAAATATTTAAAATTCCTTGAACTGACAATGTGTTCATTAAGTTATATTGAGACAGTGTGCTATAATATTATATTTAATCTTTGCCGTTTATCAGGTTCCTAGTTTTGTCCAATGTTTCGCAGTAACATCCTTATCCGCGTTTAAAGCTATTGTTTATGGTCGCCAAAGAAAATGGAAAATACCTCCACAAAGTTTAGTCATGTTGGAAGAAAAACTTCCTTTAAAATGATATAAACTTTGCTTCCTTCATTCGCAAGCTAATTGCAGTTTTATGCGATCGTTGACTTAGCAAATTCCATGTTTAATCAGAGGAGAAATGTTTTGTCCAAACAAAACAAAGCCCCTTTTTAATGGGCTTGACCCCACATTCCAGTTGCGGCCTTTTAGGCACCAACTTGTCTGTGTTTTGGCACTCCCATTTTAATGAGGTTACGGCCTTTTAATAGCTGAAAATCAACCAATCGAAACTGCACCGTTTGCGTCTATTCTGCTAGCAAAATATGAAAACTAATTGTTTTTGTAACTGAAGATAACAAGTGCCTGTATGGAAATCGCTTAATTTTAAAGCTATTGCGTGCCTACATTCATGTTTCTTTGGCATACAGAGAGAAGCAATTTTTATAAGACCTTAAAATAGCGCTAGAAAAGGCATTTGGTTTAGTACTAGCTTTACTTAAACAACCTTCATTTGAACTTTATCACAACAATTTGACACCTAAACATAGTTTGCAATTCAAAACACTTTCACTATTTGATTTAGACACAAAATTGTGTACACAGGTGGACCGAGAAAACAAACCAAGCTTTCAGAGTTGTTATCTGAAAGACGAGAGATGAAGCCATGACAGATTTACATGATGATAATGCAGTTGTTCCTGGATCTCTGACCAACTGCAGATTATTTTTAGGGACTTAATTAAAAAGCGGAAACTTCTTCGAATACTCTTTCTTAAACGGGGGCATTGGTTTTACGTTTTCCTCGTTGTACGTTCATCGACGGAAGTATTGCTCAGGATATGTTGAAATTCAGGGAAGGACATTATCGACAGCAAGCTATTGTAAAATATGAGATGATAAAATGGTTATGTAACCGCTATCTTTTATAGCGGATGTACAGTCCAAAGTCATTTTCTCAACACCACAGGAGGTATAAAAACGTAACAATAATATTATACAAAAGAATTCTGCCGTTGAGGCTTGCAAATTTTTTTGCTTTAAACGTGTAAAACGATCTTCCTTTTCCAACTCAATTCAAGATCCCCAAATTGTAATAATCTGGATGGAATTTGATTACCGGCTTCGAACTAGCTTTATCTGGGATTTAATTCTGGTCAGTACGTGCTGAAAAGAAAAGCTTCCTATTAATGTAAATTCGCAATTTTCCAATTTATTCTCGGAAACAACGAACAGTTGTAATAAGCTCCCAAGGGTGACCTTTGGCTGCAAGTCTATCCTGCAGGAAATTTCGTCATTACCGAATTGGGCAACAAAACTAAACAATATTTTCGTAGCTTATTCAGGTGACAGGAACTTCCTCTCCGACAACTGAATCACGCTTTATTTTACCATTTATTGGATGTAAGATCCATTTTTTGTTTGTTTTCTTTGACGCGGTATCGAGAAAGCCTTTAGTCTTTTTCCGTGACAATTCGAGGTGTTATCGTATTAATATAATCCACTTGATTTCTTTCCCATTTTCTGCGCTGTTGCACTAAGGGTAAAAGTTATGCTTGTTAACGACCTTAACTTCTACCGTCAACTTGCTATAAGCTGCCTTTCATAAAATTGACTCATCAATTACGCCAGTTGCACAGACGTAATCTTTTTACAGGGGTTGAATTAAATAATGACGTCATTTATCAATCTCTTAACAGTCTCAAGTGCGTATACAACATGTATGCGTAAACTGCGGCCGTACAAACTCTAAAAAGTCGTTAAATGAAGTGCGTGGAAAAGGTTATTTAAGTTCGCCACTTGCGAAATTGTAACTCGATCAGTCTTGCCCCGCGGCGAAGTGTTCTGCTGTAAGTGAAACAAGAAGAAACTCTTGAGAAGTTAAATTCGTAACAGTATATATTTTTAACCGCCACAGGCCAATCAATGATATACAGAATGAACTTGACAGTCAGTTGCTTAAAATGCCAATTCTCTTTAGTAAATGATACGCATTCCTTTTTTTAAAATTTTGGTTCTGAGAAAATGTGAGAATTGTAAAAAAAAAAAAAAAAAAATTCAATAACGTTTATGCCAGGGGTTCATGATGGCATTGGACTGATCAGTACGAGACTACGAGTAGTCCCTCTTTCGCTTAGTCCGTCGTGCGTGACGCGAAAGAGGGACTACTCGTAGTGTAAGGCAGTATCCATCAGTATCTCTTTACCTCTCTGCTTGAAAACGTTGTAATATTTTAGGAGAAGTTAGATTTGATCACTCTTAGGAAATAACCTGATTAAGATGTGTTTTTGTTGGAAAATTTAAAGGGACAGATCTTTGCGTATTTTTCTTGCTTATGAGGTTAGTAATCATTTGAAATGTTCCTTGGAAACCTTGGTGACAGGAAGCTATTTCTACTGGCGTAGGAAAGTTAAATGTGACACTCCTTTCAATGTTGGACTTGTGAGGAATTCGTCAAATAACTGCCCCCTATGAAGGCTGGACAAAAAATGCTTTAGAAATATCAATTGCAAAAGCACGTATAAGAATGTATACAGTTCAACTTTTGAGTAACAAAGAACCAACGGTGCTGTTTTTTAATCAAACAAAAATGGTTTTCTAATTTTTTAATAAAGTTCTAAGCTATGATTACTCCTAGCAATAATATTTGTTTATAACCGGTAATACCAAAAAACTGGAAATGTTGTTATTTTCTGAAGAGAGGAAACAGAAAATATTGTTGTACCTTAACAAAAAAAAAAAAAAAAACTGTAGNTTAAAAAAAAAAAAAAAAAAAAACTGTAGAATGTCGCATTTGTATCTCGGGGTCGTGACAAAAACATCCTTTTTTCATCATTTGTCAACATTTACTTTCAAAGTTTTTGAAGATTTCCTTGTTTCGTTACATGGCCTTCCATTTCCGCCGAAACCAACTAGCCCGGGCATTTGACATTAACCATCGCTTCCTTCAGAAGGGAAGCAGGTCTAAGTTATTATTCAACGGTGATTGCAACGAAATATCGTAGTTGCAGAGAGAGCTGTGGTTATATGGTTTACTTATTCCCGCTGTGGACACTAGACTGACAATTTAGAGAAAGAAAACCCTGATTTTCACTGCTTCGAAAAGAACAAAAAAAAAGGCAGGTTGTTTATTTGCGTAAAAATGATGTGATACTTATATACAGCTAGTTTATAAGGTTGTAATACCTGCACGCAAACATAGCGGAATATTTGATAGTCAGTAAACTGAAATATCTTTCTAGGCGATATCGATTTGTTCAACCGCTCGCTGGTGACTCATGAAGTTCTATCCAACATTACTGATAAAAAAGACCAGTAATAAGAAACGCATACTACAAAAAAATATTGTAATCCCCGGAGCTCAAGGACTTCAAGTGTCTGGAATTCAAATATTATCTTTATGAATTTTGCGAGAGTTAAATTTTGTGATTGAACTAAGTTTAATTTTTGAGAGTCCGATTTCCTCGATTCATTACCATATTTCACAGTAAGCCCTCCAAAAATCACTCTGAAAGGACCCAGAATGAAGGTTTCTGTGTATGTTTTTGGTATTAAACAAAGTAAATATATAAGTATGTAAATCAGTTAATATTTCTCTTCAAAAATAATCCTGGTATTAGCCCGGCTACGTGACAGGACAACTGACCGGAAAACCACATCGCCACCAAACCGGAAATGAAGCACTATCGCCCACGGCACATTCGGTCTTCCGCTGCGTTTGCGAGGGAAATTCGAAGAAAATTCTACAAAGAGAGGCAGATTTACTTCATGGCACACGATTGTTACAATCTTGATTTCTCTACGTTAACAAAGAGACGCAAGAAGATGAGGGAACACAGAAAGCCGGTTAACGAATGAACGATTTTGAATAGAGATTTATAATTACTGGGTTCTCGTGTAATGCAGATTTTAATAGTTGTGTATTTTGCCCGAAGCTAGTTTGTGTTGTTTTGAAAGTTGTTCTTTGCGGCTGCGTTTATACTTTAAACGCCTCACTGTAAATCTTTCTAATCCACCGAAATCCAATATTTCGCGGCTGTGTTCGAGTTTCAGCTCGATTGCCGATATCACGTAGAAGCATCGCAACCATGACGCACTTCACTGATCGAGTAGCTGGAAGTAGAACGTGCGTGTTGGTTTGCAAATCTCTTTCTTCTGCATGCGATTTAAAATGTTTTGGAAGGATTGTGGGTGGTTAAGGGCATATGTAAAGGAAAAGCGAAGATAACTCGTATCCAATCACCCATGACGGAAGTACTGATTATAAACAACACGACGCAAAGGAGTAAAAACTGCAACGAAAGCATCTTTGATTACTGTCAGTTCAAGTTATTTAACTGTCCGTCAACAGCTCGACCCTGCGCTAGTCGATAAGCGTTTGCATTCGCCAAACGCTGTCTTATTTCAAGCATACCCCGAGGCGATGAAAGAGCACCTTCTCGCCATTGGTCGAGGAAGAGAAGTATCATTTGATATTCGCGTTTTTGGTTCCCTGCGGTTGGCAAAAATTCAATAGTGGGCTTCACGCATGCAAAGCTTGTAAACTGAAACTTTTTAACGCTCGACCTTGCGAAAATCGATCCCTCAATGCCTGGCATCGTTGTCGCGAAAGTCGCGCTGATGTTATTGCACAAGCGTCTTTATCATTTCGCGCAACGCCCCCTGGCACCCTTTGCACGAAGAATTCAAATCAAAACACACACAGTTATTTACAAAATTTAGAGGAACATTTATTGAATTGCTTTCCAAAAGATCGTTCCTATCCTCAAAAACAACTTTGGTTTCCAAATCAGTGCGCGTAACACTCCCAACCTATACAGTCGAATATAAATTATCTACCATTAAATTACGTCCAAGTAAATAGGCGATATATTAAAGAATTACTCTCTCTACCTAACTGTAACAAAAATTATGGATTTGATTCGAAATTCGGTAACAAAATAGCACTTATCGCTTGGTATTATAAGTTAAATAAATAATATATTAAATAGATAGGAATTGAGGGAGGATAACGAGAAAAAAACGACCATAATTTTAGCTTCCATTATTCACAGCTTTACAATATACAGTGGTAATTATTGACCAAATATAAAACGTGTACGAAAAACTTACACATAGGAATTTCGTGTTTAACACTAGCAATTCCGTCGATAATTTTCTTTTGTTTTGTTCGATAAATAGCTCTAGGACCTATAGAAACTGCTTGATGCATATAAATCTGTGCTTTAGTCCCGATCATAAAAATATGGTTAATTATATAATATATATATTCTGGTGCCCTATTTAGACGTGAAATAATAACTGATTCTCCAGCGTTTTGTTGACTCGATCAGTCTTTAAAATGTTAAATTACAAATCTTGTGTACAAACGTTAAACTACTAAAAGCTAATAATTTTTACAAACTCATTCTGGCAAGGAGATTCTGTTGAAGACAGGTAAGCGCTTTCGGTTGGCGGCCAAAGCATCGTAGGAGTCTGGAGGAGTCGGGGGCAAATCGTCGTCTTCTTCATCCAATTCGTCCTCTTCGTTTAATTCTAATCCCGGCGAAAACACTCCGGGAGGACTGCCCATGGTTGGCGAAAGAACAGGAGAGTAGTCTTGGGCTTGCGATGGGAAAGTGAAGACGTTGTTTGATGCCGGAGAAGGAATCGGCAGAGGGCTTTGTATAGGACTTCCCAATGGGCTGTCGTCGTTGTAGAAGGAAAGCGGAGAAGGAGAAGGTGGAGTTAATGAAGTCGGCATTGGCGAAGTTGGCTCGGTGAGCGGAGGAGAAGGCGGCCCGATTAGCGGCGATGGAGGAGACATTCGCGAACCGTTCATCATCATCTGAGCGGCCCGTCGTTCCTCAGCGTTGTGAATAAAATGGCACCTCGGTCCATAAGGGCAGAATCCGATGGTGTGAAATGTTCGGCACAACTCAGTTTTGTATTTCGGATGGCGACTAAGCGAACGCAATTCGTGAACGCCGTGGGCGAATTGGCACTTGTCGCCATACTTACAAGTGCCGTTTTCTTCAAAAGGACGGCAAAGTTCTGTCTTGTAGCGGCTGGAATTTGAACTTGAACGTCTTCGCTCTTCTTCGGCACTCAAACTCAATGAGCGCTCTCGTTTGTTTGGCGAGCCACTGCCAGTGAGCGTGATTAGGTTCGGCGACGAGCGAGAACTTGAAACAGAAGTCGAATGTCTCCTCGGCTGGCCGATAGGAAGTGGCTTTCGTTCGCTTCGCTGTTTTTGCTCAAAAGCCAAGCCAAGGTTTCTGTTATTCTGTAAAAGATAAACGATTACCATGTTTACGTGAGATCATAGCGCCAAAGAGAGTTCAAAATTGCTCTTAATCACCTCGCACAAAGAACCCTACTTTAGGGACATCGCCAAATGAATAGATACGATTGTTTTCGCGCAAAAGAAAACGACACGAAAATTTACCTTGTACAGCACGTCATTCACGTCATAGAATGCGGAGACCAGGGCTGTGGACATGTTGCCAGCTTGACGAGTCTAAATAGACTAACGCTTCCCGTAACTCCGATTGCCTTTTTGCTTTTCCACTGATTTGCTGAACGGTGATAGCACACGAATATAAAATGCAAACGTGAGAGGTGTGTCGTCTCAGTGTCAAAAAAGATAATGATTTCTATGGCAACATAATTATCATAGACCACGTGGTGAGGGGCTGGGTTTTTGCAACAAGACGCAGTGGCTAGCTTGTCAAATGTTGGGAACATTCCCGACTAGTGCTTTGGGGAATGGTACACGTATTTAGTCTCAATTTGCAGGTTAGAGGTGCGGGAAAAACGCACTTGGAGCTAAATAAACGGGTTCAGGGTACAGACATAAAACACATCCTGCTCTCGTTCCTTTGTTTACACAAGCCAATAAACGCACTATTTGCGTCATTATTCACAGCGGGGTCACTCATTGGCTCTCACAATCGGCCATCAATCAAACGGAAAAACCATTAGAAAGCGAAACAAACAAGCGTCTGCAACGACTACAGCAAAATAGTTTCTTTCCTGCGAGCGTGTTTGGCTATGTAAATTGTGTATTTCGTGAGCTCCACTGAAATTTACAACGAACTGGCTTCCTTCACGTGATTAATTCTACCGAAGCGGAAAAAGAAAAACATTGAAAATTTCTATAGCGAGCGATGATCTGTCTTCTGACACGTGATCCCTCGCCACGGTCAAAATCCTCGGAGACAGAAAGAGTGAAACTGTCAGAGATTTAAATAAAGCAAATAGAACAGTTCTTGTACCAAACTTTATCCTTACGAGGAAAAGCCGAACTTTCGTGCTTTCGGAATTGTTACCGGCCTTTTCTCACCTAAAACAAAGCCTTCCTTCTTTCATGGATCATTTGTCAAATTTAAAAACACTTTTGTTAAATCTCTTGAAACGCCATTTCAATGGTATGGAAATTGAACCCCGCTGTTGCTTAAAATAGACGTGAAAGCAAATGATCTTTTTGTTATTGTTCGGCGTGTCAAATGGGCCTCTGAAAACAAAGCAAAAAGCGATTAATATGAACTAAGCCAATCAGGGCAGGGAAAATGTGTCAAAACATTGGCCGTGTCAGGTCGCACAACTGAAACACTCACAAAGCCCACACAACACCTTCTGTTTTTAGTCACTGACTGTAGAATGATTTTGTCTCGCCGCAATATCAAATCAATTTAAAACGTCCTTGCTTCATTCCGTCGTACGGTTGAACGCGTTGCGCTGAAGCTGTTGCCGATATTGGCCCCGCTTCTCGATCTCGGAGACGAATACCGTTTGTAGTGAAATGCGATCACCGGAAAAACGATAATTCGATTTTTGTCTCTGCGCTTGCACGAATAAGGTAACTGATAAGATGCTGTCGTGTAGCAACAGACTGCATTACGGTTCATGGTTTTGCATACATTCACGTCCTCAGTGTTGTTAAAAAGAAAGTAGGTCTGTACCGCAAAAAAAAAAAAAAAGGAATAATAATAACAACAAATCAAAACACAGGAAACATACGGGTGCTCATTGCCAACACATAAACCCAAAATAGTCCACAACTCGCGGGTGCACGCATGTCTGGATATTGTGACTTTAAGAGATTATTATTGGTTATGTTTTGAAATAGACGCTAGATTACAAAACAGTTCTGATATCCAGTAGCCACCTTGAGAGTCCGGCACAAAGCAAATCAAGCCGCGATCGGGTAACCGCCAGCGTCTAAGGAAGATGACTGGATTTTAGACTGGTCTAAGCAGATGTTTATTACGCAAAAAAACGTAGAACATTCGTGTAACTACTTCAACGGAGCCAGGTCGTCGTTTTGCGTAACGCCCCCTCAGACATAACAGAGATCAGAGGTGGGGCGATTTAATCTGACGTAAAACATAAAATTACCTGATTACTGATGTCCTGACCAGGCACCGTGAAACATGCACGTACAAGGGCCATAATGAAGGGAGACCCTAGCAGGGGGGAGACCAGCGTAATTTACACCCTTTTCTCTGCCCCCATCTCTCAAAAATACTAAAAAATATTGCCAAAAATGAGTCAAATTTGGCCATTTTGGTTTTGCCCGTATGTCTATCAGCTCAGGGGAGTGGGGCTACCTGGGGGTTGATAGGGGATTGGGGGGGGGGGGGTGGAGGGGCATTGACTCTAGGAACATGTGTGGTGGCCCTGGATACGATTTTACGAGGAATCCGATTTCTAGGGCAGGATAGGGAGGTGGAACCGCTTTTCCATTTTTGCAAAAGGATTTCCAGGGATATTCTCGCGGAAGATGTCAAAACATGTCGGGTTGCTTATTACCCCGGGTTGAATCACCGCAGAGAGTGCTGAAAATAAACACTTTACACCAACCTGGGTTGTAAGTCTGCGAAAGCGTGTGGCTTGCTTCGAGCCTGACCCGGGCTAGAATGATGACCAAAAAAAACCTAGAAAGTATAACGGAATGGTGGGAGGTCCTGATGTACAAACCAAGAAAGAAAGAAAGAAAGAAAAAAAGAGATAAAAAAAAAAGAACGAAATAACATGGTTATTTGACTGAAAGTACCAACCCGGGTTAGCTTTTGGCCCACTGTTTACATGAGTAAATGAGAATGAGAATGAACTCATGAGAACTGCCAGTAATCGGATACCCGTGTTTGCGAAAAGAACTCTGGGATCGTCAGGGGGCAAACATTGCAAGTCGCTAGAAGGAAATGTATGGCGAAAAGTTGTTTCGACGCCCGAAAACATGGTTTTGGGGAGAGATCAACGGTTTTTCGCCGTTGTTTTATCGCAAATGGATTTTTGCAATGTTGATACGTGGAAAATGTAAGTTTTTGTTTGAATAACCGTGAAATAAGTGATAAAATTTACCGATAAACTCCCGGGGATAAACTCCCTTTTGCTTGCGTGGGGTTTATTGTGAAACACATTGAAGAGAATATTGAAAATTTCAATACACGCCTGATCTCGAGAGGCTACCCGGAGCAAATGGTAGAAAAGACCCTCCGAGAAGTTAAATATCAAGACAGAAAGAAGCTCTAAAACAGAAATCGAAAATTGCAGAAGGAACTACTACCCTNGACCCGAAGGTATACTGTAACCTTAAACATACATGTGAGTACATTTATTGAGGTTACAGTTAAAAATCTTTTCATAGAGAAGGAGGTAACAGTATATATACATACAGCATAAAAACAATACCTAAACCCTATCAAGTTTAAAAATATGTTGAAGCAGTAATGAAAGGTACATGTAACACTAAATTTGGATAACAGGAAATTTATTTACTATATTTTAGCAAAGAGTGCCTCCTTTCTGGAAAAACACATTTTCCCGAGAAATAAAAATAATGCTGAACCACTTTGTAACGTCCCCAAATAGTATAAAAGCACAACAAACTACAGTTGAGCCCCATTTACATGGACACTGGAAGCACAACAAAGTGTCTGCCTCGAGAGGGGTGGGGACTACTATCCATAATAATGAGTTGTCTGTATTAATCAGGTGTCTATAAAGCAGGGTTCAACTGTACATGCAATCAAACCATTGCTGCAGTGTCTTCTTAAATGACATCTGGTGCTGCAACTCAAAGAAAAGTACAACTGTTCTGCAAAATACCCAACGCCTGCTGGATGTTGGAGAGTAACCTCTGGGACATGCAGCTTTCATTGAGGGGTTTCTACTGGTACATGTCCATTGAATTAACATTTACACATTATAACACTGTCGTGAATTAAGAATTGACTGCAGGACTCTTTGGTAAGAAGGACTTGATAGTGATTGACATGCACATTGTAAAAAAGTGATTGAATCTGAAATCTGCAAAAAATAAACATGCTAAGAAGGAACCTGTAAGGTGTTTTATAATGTAACACTGCACAGCTGTTATATATTTCAATTAGTAGTATACACAACCCCACAAGCTTTGTAGCTTTAACTCTTATCGTGTCAAAATAAAGGTTTTATGTTTACATGTGTGTATGTTGTTTACTAACTAATTCAATGTGATGCCTTAAACATCGGGCTAAATGCCAGGGATCTTGTAGAAACACTATCAAAAACACTGTCAACAGTAAACATACATTGTGGTTCGATTTCTCTGAAAAAAACAATTTGCACATGATTTTGAACATCACCAAAGGATTTACATGGAAGACATTGTTTTATTACTAACATGGGAATTTGGAGAAAAAGTGAAGATCACCTCTAACCTCTTCTCAAATTTACAATGCATAAGCATGGCCATAATGATAAGATCACTGAACACCTACCATGTGAAATAGGGTTATACTTTGTTTGGTTTCCATTAATAAACTTTTTTGTCGCTTCATATGTGCTGAAGTATAATGCATGAGCCGGGCCTGCTCCTATCGCCACCACAGTCATTCCTCTGAGAGGGGCTAAAACACCTTCTTTTGTCACCATACTTGTGATTGCATGATAAATATTTCTGTAGACAGCATTTGGATGTGGACACAGGCTCTGCATTCTTGTCTGCAAAAAAATACCAGGGAAAAACATATCATTATTTTTCCTCAAAAACAACATGTACATTAAACTAGACAGTTTTGATTAGTAGTTTCCTTTATTGTGCAGTACCAGAAAATATCCATACTCCCCCCACAGAAGGGATTAGAATTTCCTGGGGGGTGGCGGTTCTCTAAGACCAAAAAATTTAAAGAAATGTATTAAGTTTAATTGGAATTTCCCGAGGGGTGGGGGGTCTTGAAAAAAATCCCTTCCATGGGGGAGGTATGGATATTTTCTGGAACTACACATTCCACTTTAATACCATAATCCCTAAACAAAGAAAAATGCAAATCAATCTACTTGTAGTTCAAACTCATTTTCACCCAAAATTCATTTCAAACAATGACCTTTAACCTAACCAAACTCTTAGTTACAATAACCTGACATCAAAGCTCATTTCCACTCACGTCTTAGTAGGAGGGTTGTTTATTTGTGTGGTCATTACTTTCAGAACTTTACAGTGATAACATTTAGATGAGCAAGACGGTAATCACCATATTGTCAAAACAAAACAAAGCTTAATTTCCTATGTTTAAAAGATATTTATAAATCTGATTTATTTCTGAGTTGTTACTTAGTTATGATTTATATTTTCCCAATATCCAACAGCTTTCCCCAGCAACCTGATACAACCAAGACTTAGGAAAAATTTACATCACACAGGGTCACCTTAATTATACGAGCTGGAACACTTTACAAAACATGAAATGACACAATTTGGCTATTCTTCAGGTTCACTGAGGTGCAAATTGGTGACACCGCCTGTCTAGTCTATAGCTAAGCAAAATATAACATTATTGTGTGCAGATGCCTTGTTAAATGTCTTTTAGTCCCTGCTGAGAGGTTTGAGATTGCATATGACCTTCTACTGATTAAAAATTACATTTAAATGACATTTGGAAAGTATTCTCCTGACTCATGGACCCCTAAATATAACTTTTCAAGTTGTTATTGTAAGATAGTTGGGTGCTGGTATGTAGATTCTTTGGTATGCAGGTTACATAATTATGCTAAGAAGTTGATATTTAAGGAGTTTGTCCTCTGGGAATTGCCACTTGATGGCATCTCTGCTTTTGATCACTTGTGGAAATTTTGTTTTAGTAAAAATTTCCGTGTTTTTTTCTTTAGTACATTTGCTGTATTAATAACTATCCTAGGGCCAAAAACATATTTGCTGTTTATGTCTGATCAATAAACGAGATGGCCCTTCCGATACGAATGGTGTTTTCTTACTTGTACTAAGTTAGAAATTATTTTGTTTTCATTTGACTGCAGAGTGATTGGACAACAATGTACAACAATGTACAATATGTTCTCAGAAGCCAACAAGTTATTCAAAAAATATTTTAAACAGTTCCATAAATCTGTAATTTTCGGAGACGAAAACCACATTTATTTCCAACTCTCGATAATTATAAATACTTTTGATATTATATTTAAGCTCATGGGTGGCAAGCAATCATTGGACAGTCTTCACTTAAGCTTATTTACGCGAACGATTCCAATATTGCTGACAGAATATCGACAACGTGTGAGCTACGAAAATTACGTCGGAAAACAAACATTGTAGGGATCACATTGTAAAATAGTTAAAAGATCATAGCTGGTTATCATATGTACAACATTCTCACAAAAAGTCCTGATTAAAAGCTACAAACCATTATTATTCAGAGAAGCACAGCAAAATAGAGAGGAATGACCTAATATCAAATTTCACAAGGAAACGCTTTCAGCGACCAGCCCACACAACCAGACAGTTGAGATATTTTTATTTTAGCCCTCCAAAAAGAAACTATTCACCATGTGAAAGTCTACAGAGGAACTTTTATACACTAGAGTTATTAAATTCTAACAAGAAGCCCGTAAAACGAATTGATCGTACCTTAACACAATCCACAGGGTACATTACACAATGTTCCATCACTCCAGCTAACGCGCCTGCTGCAAGATGAACTGTAACTTTCTCCGTTGGCAGGCTCTCGTATTCCGAGTCGTCCATAGCGATGGGTAAAGTAATCGACTCCAGTCTTGTAATTGTTTTAAGAACGTAAAATACGACGTAGATTTGAGCGTTTCGTAATACCAAAACTGTGCACACTTTTGTTAAACTGCACCCGCCATAATAGATTCACAATGTTAGGCTGAGTAAGCCATGTGACCAGTTTTATCCAATTAGGTGCAAGAATATAGAACGTGAACCAATCACAATTTACGTTTTATCGAGCAGAACGAAAGCGCGACGAAGTTGGAAACCACTGGAAACCACGTTGATGGCCGAAAGTACAAGGCCAATACTCTGAGAAATAGCAATAATATGGTTAAGTAAAAACACAAACTCGAGTTGAATGCTTCCCTCTTTGCACTGAATGCCGAAGAGCGATCTGGCTAAATAAGATCTAAAGAAAAATGGTTAAAACTTGTGGCGACCGAAGTTGTCATATCGTGACCATATTACGTCATCGTCTTGCTTCAGCGAATGCGGAACTTTTTTTGCTAAAAATAAGCCTTTCTTGGTACTCGCTTAATTTGTTCAAGCGCGAAGTCTCATTTCTCTGTCTCTTTTTTTCCTATTTCAGATTTTTTAAAGGTTTAGTTGGGTTTTGCAGGTGATAAAATTCCAAGGTTATTCCCAGAAATTAAATCTCGGGATGTACGTTGCTGTTACCTATTTCCTGTTGAACAAGCTGTGTTTGAATATTTACTGCTGTTGGGAGAAATATCGCAACTGAGAGTTAGTGAGCCGGCAGGATTAAGAAAAGTCAAATCTTCGTGAAAAGCGAACCAGTCATAACAGTCATTTTTAAAAAACATGACTTTTTTGATACCCAAATACAAACTCGTGACGCCGCGAGTTTTATTTGAATTAGAAGTGGGAATAATTCCAAGTCATGAACAACAAACAGAGAGGTGTTCCCGTATTTCTTGGAACTGTCAACTATTTGAGCGAGATGATGGAAGGGTTTTTAAAACCGTCAACTATTTGAGCGAGATGATGCAAGGTATGAAGTTGACCTCTAAGTCCTACTCCCCAGGGCATCGTTCCAAAGCAGGGGTGGGTGGAGGGTGGGGGGGCCCAGAAAGGGGGGTGAGCTAAACGGTGCAGGATTTGGGATGCGCCTTTTTATGCGCTATATAGAAATCTTGTAAGGCTCGCTGAAATTAAACACAAAAAAGAGAGCGGCAAACTGCATTCATGAAGCCACAGAAGGGTCACCGAAACTATAAATTGGTCAGAAACTCTGGATTTTTATGTGAGTCATATTACATCACAGCCACTTCAGTAACTTGCATCATCCCATTCTACTTGCGGAACTCAAATAGTTGACAGTTCCAAGAAATGCAGGAGCTAACGCCTGTCAGTTTGTTTTTCATGACTTGGAATCGTTCCATTTTTTAATTCAAATATAAATTAAACTCCGACATCACCAATTTGTATTTGGGTGTTAGAAAAGTCACGTTTTCAGAAATGACTGTTATGATTTCACAGATTTGGCTCTCGTTTCGCCAGGTGAGGATTGTAACAGCAGTAAATATTCAAAAACTTGTTAAGTAGGAAATTGCAACTTCCCGAATATATATAGAGGAAATGTGAGAAATGCGGGAAATGTGAGTTGACAGTCCGAGATTATTATCTTTTTACCGACTGAATTGTTAGTTATTTATATTATTTTTTTCACTTATTTCTTTCTCTTCAGCTTTCAAACTAGCAATCAGTTTTTATAAACTGGAAGACGCAAATAAAAGAACTTTCTTTGGTAATTTAATAAATCTAAAAAAGGGTAAAAAAAAAAGAAAACAAAAAAAAGAAAACATTTCATCGTGTTTGAACAAAATTAGCGTCTACCGTACCGTAAAGAAAGGTGTAAGTAACCTTCATAAAGCGCGGAAACTAAGCAACAGTGGCAGCAACAGTACAAGGAACAAACTGGAGTACGGCGGACTCCTTGGCTGAATTTGTTTTCAAAGGGGATAGGAAAATGGAATAAGCGAACGCTATGTCCGAGGAAACCGAACATCACTGACTGTGAACTTGAGAATCGTCCAAAGCGGGCTGGAGGCAATGTACGCTACACGTCGAAGCAAGGAAAGGCCAAGTTGCATGAATTAACTTGAATGTGTGTACACCGGGTAAAACATATGTTCTTTTCCTCTCTCGACTCGGGATGTTTCACCTACGTATGTGAAAGTTTTTTTCGTTTTTAATCGCTCTCAATCTTTACCTGTTCATTGGAGAAAACTATTATTCTATAGTTTTTTCCTCGCATATTTACAAATATCTTTCAACATCGAGACATAAATGAAGTACTCTTCAGATCTCCAGAGACAAACGTGTGGCAACAAATAACGCAGTGAGCCAATCAGAACCGAAATAGAACTTGTCAATCTGTGTAAAGCACGGGGAAAGTCAAGTGTGCGACTGTACCTGATTGGCTCTTTACCTAAGTGTTCACTCTGATTGGCTAAATCGCTCGGCTTTGAGCTGACAGTTGTAACGAATGTAGCGTTGAAGTAACAAAGAATCAAGCCAAATATTTTGCTTTGAAAAACATCTGTGGCACCAAACGGCATCGGCTGCACGTATTCACTTTTTCAAAGAAGCATTCTTGATATCAGTTGTCAGACAGCTCTACATCCTCTGGTTCAGTCGGGTCTTTTTCACCTTCACCATCTGCAGAACTTCCTTGCATCAGTGATGTGAGGTAAGCGGCGACTTCCTGTAACAACACGGAAAGAGAAAGAGAGCGCACGGTTAGAATGACAGAATCTGGATGTAAAAGGTTGCAGATTTAAATAATGGCCAAAAATGCTGTTTTGTGAGGTCTTCACTTGTTACACCGGCATACCTTTCTTCCAAAGGACTCGGCAAAATCAACGGCTGTCTTCCCATACTGAAACGTTCAAAAGAAAGACAGAAATTTGAAAATAACTGACAACAAAAACAACATTCATAATAACGCTGCTATGGTATACAAACCACTTTTAACCTGTTGACGTTTGCTTAATGTAATATTAATACAAGCTTGGAACTTGATTTTGGAAAATTTCTATTTTTATTTTTCTTGATATGTGAATGGCTGCACGAGAAAACCAAACCAAATTTGTAGAAAACATGAAACTCCCAGGCTCCAAGAAAATCAACCTTAAAGTAGAAAAGAAACAGTGTCTGTCATTTTTACATACTGTACATGTAACTGTTACTTCCACTTAAAACGGTGGAGGAAAGATTCACCAGTTATAGTTGACACAAATGAATAAATTACATACCTCATTTTCAGCATGTAAATTTGCACCATTTTCCACAAGAAGCTCAACCAAGGCGAGATTACCATTAACAGCAGCTGCCTAAAATATTTCCAGAGGCAATAGGATAACTAAATAAGTGTTACTCCATTGATACAGTCAACTGAACTAGAATCCAGTGAAATCACATCATGATGTTACCAAATTAAAAATTGACTGTGAATGCAGTTTCCATCCTCAAAACTGCCAAGTGGCATAACAGACATCCCCATTGCCCACATTAGCATGGCCATTTTGGAAATATATATGGACTAGTTCTTTTATAACAAAAACTCCTTAAATTCCTTATAGCCCCCTTCCTCCACATTAAGACCCCCAAAATACTCTTTCTGTTACTCAAAAATCATTAAGGTATCTTTATTTGCCAATAAATTAAATCTCACCATCAGTGAAGACTTTCTGAATTTGTCCACTTTGTTTACATCTGCTCCATTTTCAACCAAAATTCTGGCCACGTCCACACTGCCATTCATAGAAGCTAAAAGGAGAAACAAAAATAAAATTGTATAATGTGACTATACGGGAAAAACAAACTGTAGCAAAATATGTGGTTAGATATGTGGTTAATAGGCCCTTTGCACAATCTGGTCACATGGTACCAATTAATCGAGTTAAACATGCTTTTGATGGAGGAACTCTTATCACAGTTATTAATGCCCTAGTTTTTCGTAAACTGTTTTATTGCTCAAACGTGTGGGCAAACTCCTCCAACTGTAACATTGATAAACTGCAATCTGTACAGAACTTCGGATGTAGAGTTGTAAGTGGTGCACGGAAATTCGATCACGTCACGCCCATACTAAAAGAATTAGAATGGCTGCCAGTATCAAGTCAGCTTTACTATCGGAGCACCACTTTAGCCTTCAAGTGCATGACGGGCTGTGCTCCCGACTATTTGACCTCTATTTTTATCAAACGTGCAGATATAAGCACGCGTACCACTAGGAGCTCTCAACAATTAAACATTCCTCTATTCAGAACTGCCACTGGCCAAAGAACATTTTATTATAGGACAACTACCATCCGGAACTCATTGGACCTTACTTTAAAACTCAGTAGAACTATTTCAATTTTTAAAAAAGCATTGAAACGTAAATTAATTGTAGAGTTTTCAAATTTGTGATTATCTAAATTAGAATGTAACATTATTAATTTTAGTATATTAGTATTTAATTGTAGTATTGTACCATATTGTCTTCGAAAAGCCCCCATGGGGAAAGATAATAAAGGATGTATGTATGTATGTATGTATGTATGTACCACGGAATAAATTATGCTGGGATGCAAGTTACAGAGTGAGACTTTCAAAACAAAGAAAACTCGGGCTGGACTGGTACGAGTTCATTTGTTTTGGAAGTTCCCACTGTGGAACTTGCGTCCCAGCATAATTAATTCCATACCATGTGACCAGATCGCGCAAAGGGCCTATAGTGACAAAAATGTAAATAATTAGACAAGCAAAAACATGTGATCATGGAGGTCTGCAATGTGTTCAAAGGGCAAGCATAATAGGCATGCAATGCATGCAGATAACTAGATTTTTTTATGCATGCTGCATTTCAACAATCCAACAAGAGAAATAAAGTGTTTAATTGCAGTGTTAATGGAACTTCATACCAAGTCTTATTAGCGGAGAGCAACCAGAATCATCTTCAACATCAACCTGTTTGTAAAAAATAAAATTATCAAAATGAGTGGGAGTTGTGGTAGGAAGCCAAATAGTTAGCAACCAGTGGAGTGGTCTTGCAGGTCTTGGTTGGAGCACTGACAGTGATCAGTGTGTCATTTTCTATATTATTGAGGGAGAGCTATGACGGTGTTTGAGCACTGGCTAGCTCAGCTCCATTATCAAAATCCCTCATTCCACCCAGGAGAAATATTGGTATCAAGAAATGAATGGACAGTCCGACAAAAAATGTAATTTGATGGTAAAATGTAGTGTCTTATGACCCTTTCAATAATAAAGTGATCATACATTAATTCCATTGTCCAATAGCCACTGTATACAGCCTGTTTTTCCACCATCCACTGCCCAGTGAATACAACAAGATCCACCCTTGTCCCGGGTGTCTACAGATGCTCCATGTTCAAACAGCTGATGAGCTACTTTTAAATGACCACCAAAGCAGGCCATCATCATGCTACAAAACGAAACAGTAAGGTGACTGTATCACACAGGGATATGACTAAGAAAACACTAAGCTGGCTTGAGCACATTAACAAGACTCTTCTGGCCTTAGCAGCTCCAAAGTCACAGGGGCAAATTGACCGGCTGTGAGAACGATTTTGCCCAGCTGGTTTGGGCATCTAGAGTAAAGTTTTTCTTATGAAGAAGTTCAGTTCAAATAGTTTTTCCTGCCTGTGAAAACCAGCTGCCCTAATGCTGAAAACCTTAATAAAACCCTGCAAAGTCTTTGTTTTTGTGTGAACCATTACAAGCAGATTTTCAAAAGTTCTCTTTCAGTTAGTGATGATGTTGATCAGATAAATTATCAAAATTAACACTCCATGTATTACATGTAAAATCCAAATGTAGCAATCATAAATAAAAGGAGTAATTATTAATATTAAGCTCGGTTGCAAGATAGCTAAAACGATAGATGGCTACTAATGAATAATCACCTGTTTTTCCCGCTTGCATTGGAGTAGTTGACATCAGCATTGTGTTCAATCAAAAGTGATACAATGCTAAAAGAAATATTAAGTTACTTGACTGTACACTTGGTTAAGGAACTGAGATTTACTTAAAAACAACAGATCACTATTAATAGCAACTTTTACTAACTAACTTTTACATGTGTGTAGTTGGCTAAGAATCAGATAGGAATTAATTTACAATGCAGCAGTTTTCTCAACAAATGCATTATATGATGATCACTTCAGTGCGTGGGGTATCTTTCCACCTCCTCTGCCACAACTTAACAAAATATGGACTTAAAATTTCTGGCATAAACACCTGTTTGTACCAACCTTGTGTAACCCTTTTGTGCTGCAACCATTAGAGGAGACATTCCAAATGCATCTGGAGAATCAACTAAGTTTTCAACACTGTGAATATGGAAAACGTAGTTATAACACTGAAATAGACAGCAATACTGTTGAAATTTGGCAGATTTATGTACATTGTTGGTTAGTAAGCATTGTACATCTTTGACCAACCTTTCTTCGAGAATTGCTTGCACCTTTTCTACTTCCCAATTAAGCACAGCACGGTGAAGATCATAACCACATAATGGGATTTCTAAGTTAATGGAGAATTTAGCAATAAATATTTGCTCTGTTTATTAGTACAAAGTTCTAATTTAAGCAATTATCAGTTTAACTCCCTTACATCAAGGTCAAGTTCCAAGGAAATGCTTTTAATGAACTGCAGCTCTTCAGACTGACCTGTAGCTACTACTCAGTGTTCACCACTTCATGCAGTATTTTACCTTATTACATGGCTACAGTAGCTCTGCTAGCATGCAAGATAAGCCAAATTCAGCAACGTGATTGGCTAGATGACAGGGCAGATAGGGTTATCTTACCCACTTGGGATGACTAGCTACAGGTATATCCCACAGGAAAATGTATGCAATATACCATATCATTATGTACTATAAAGACCTCTATTAGCTTTATTACCAAACTTGTTCAGTCAACATGATTGGATTTTGCCTCCATAAAAAGGTAACAAATATTCTGGCCAGGGCTGTTAATAAGGGCCATAACCTGTAACGCCAGTTACTACTGAGTATGTTTGATGGGCCCTGAATAGTAAACTTGCCTGTAGTTGATACAATTCACCATAAAGTAGCAATTTTGCTACAGGTGTAAAGATCAAGGCTACAAGTGAGTCAAAACTTACTGAAAGGCCTGCTGGTGAATGTTCAACCATGCATGTTGAGCTCACCTTTGCCTGATCAATAACCCATATACATACTTGTAGTAGTAACAGTTATCACTTGACTCCAAGGGCTATGTCCATGGTCATTACTGATGCGCAGGCGGTATCGATAAGTCTTGTTTTCATCCAGGCCTTTAAACACATTGCTTTTGGCAAAACCACTTAAAGGAGATATCAAATTAATATTGATTCAACTACTGGTAATAAGACGTCTATTCCCTATTCACAGCCTACTGTACAAGCCAAAGTATTTGGAGAACTAGAACCATAATGCACTGTTAGAAGAAAATGTAGGGTACCAATAAAATTAATTTGTTGCAGCTGTTGTTGTTGTTACACTATATAAGTTGTCCTTTAAAAATATTTATGACATAGTTTTGTCAGTGACCACGTTCATAAATTAAACAATCTAAAGATTTGGATCTAAGATCAAGACCTAAGTATTCTTGTGAAAATAATTTATCCAGAAGTCTGCATCAACAATAAGTATCCCACTTACAGCTACCTTCAAGTTTGCAACATCATTGATAACAAATTCTCACTTGTAGACATTTCCAAATCCTTTCCTAGCATCTTCTTCTTCCTCTTGGATACAGTATTGAAGCCTCCCTCCTGAGGTGTCTTCAGTAGACTCCTGATTCCAGTACAACTCAATACTGTTAGGCATAACCTTCCCGACAACAGGAGGTGCTGGCTTATCAGGAGCTACAAATATAGAAAAAGCAAACAGAAAAAGGTTGCAAAATGCAATGAAATCACTGTAATGGGAAGATTTCACACTGATTTTCCCCTAATTTTCTCATTAATTTTCAACCATGGTTTTCTGTGGTCTAGACATCTGAAAAATGATGTCACAAAAAGTACAACAATTGGTTTTGAAACCATATGCCTACGATGTAGGTAACGTCTGCATACGAGCTAAGTAGCCCACCAGGTCAGAGCTCATCCCAGTTTCTGTAGCATGAAGCGACTAGGAGTATTTCTACTCCCCCCTGGATGGGATGCTAGTCCATCACAGGGTTACCCCCAGCATTAAATTCGCTGGTACCCATTTATACACCTGGGTGGAGAGAGGCACTGTGAGAGTAAAGTGTCTTGCCCAAGAACACAACACAATGTCCCCAGCCAGGGTTCAAACCCAGACCGCTCGATCCTGAGATAAGCTCACTAACCATGAGGCCACCGCACCTCCCACTGTGATGTAGGGTTCCACTTAAGTTATTCACAACCATTTTATGATTCACATCATTTGTATATGTGGTCTATGACTAATTAATGTAGACCGTAGAAAATGGAAATACAACACGGCAGATTTTTCTAAGAACTGAATCTTACCTGACATTGCTAAGCTCCAACATCAACTGAATAGATAAACTGTAAAATCACATGAAGATGTAAATTACTGGATAATGTTAAATGCAAAATATACACTGCAACTTCCACTTATAAAGCATAATACCACAGTCACCCTAATAAGCTTGGCGATACAAATGTGTTAACGCCAGAAAAGAACACATTTTCATGATGCTGCTTGAGGTGATAATGAGACTCAATGAATGCCAAAAAGAGGTTAATTAAGGGGCTTGAACAGTTCACAAATAAAACAATGTATGCTTTATTCCCGACATTCTAATTGTAAGTGCCTATTATTACACGTAAGAGCAAAGCTAAGTGTTTTCCAAAAACCCACAGACAATACAAGTTATTCCCCGAGGACAGTTTCACATAAATTTTAAAAATGATTAGCACTATAGAATCAAGTCGATGGAATCGTCTATGAAAAGTAATAGTTGCTGCATCAAACTTCTTAGCTTAAACCCGGGGTATCCAATCGATGGAAACCGATGATCAGAAATTCAATCGATCAATCAATATCAATCAAAAAAATTAGTTAATTGGTATCGATTGGTATCGGCCAATCGATGACCAATCGATAGCCACACAAAAACCATTCATTGATTGCTATCAATTGGCTCAGCAACCTTGAACAGACATCACGCACGCTACCTGTCCAATTATCCGCCATTTTTAGGAAGCCCTGGGGACGAAACTGGTAAAACAAATTCCGACCCAGTCTTCTCAACGAAAAGAATATACCCCGTTGTACATGTACTCGAATTACCCACTTGCCCATCATTGCCTTTCCGTGTCATAATGTCTATGCAAGACATCTGGGTAGAGGCTTTACTGAATATAAGGTGCATCGTCAAAGGCTATCATCTTTGCCGTTTTGGGGTGAACGTTAGTGAAGTGTTAACTGCAAACAAGAAGAGGGGAGAACGGGGAAACGCATTTAAAGTTGTGCACCATAGTGGACAGCTCAGCCACCTACAGTCCGAGCTTGTGGATCCTCTTTGGCCACTACATGCAGACATTTCTGTGTTGTTCTCCTGTTAGCATTTAAGTGAAATGTGTTTACAATTACTGCGTACAAAGTTGTGTCTTTTATGCGTCAATTCCTGTTCCGTCAATCTGCAATTAATCGATACCAATTGATACCAATTTATCTAGCGATTGGTATTGATAATTGATACCAATCGATAACCACACGAATCTTCGCCATCGATTGGTCATCAATTATCAATATCAATCGATTAATTGATATCGACTGGTATCGATTGATATCGATTGTCATTGATTATAGATTCCACCAATTGGATACCCCGGGCTTAAATCGTAGAGAAAAATAAGACAGAACAGATTTATGCTGAGCTAAGCCTTTATAGAAGTAAGCTTATTTTAACCTCAAAAGACTATATAAATGAGCTTACCAACAAGCTTGAGGGCATGTCTTGAAGCTTCTTCATTCTGTTCATTAGCTTAATCCAGTGGCGACACAAAGCTTTCCACTCCCTAAGAAAAGTGGCAATCAAACATTATCTTGATACGAAAGGTAAACGCCATATTGACGGTTGCCATTTTTTCACCAGAGAATAAGAAGTAATTCCTTTTAGGAAAAGACAAACTTGACAGAAGTGTCGGCAAAAGAACAGCTTCGTCTTCGTCGTCAGCTTCGTCGTCAGCTTCGTCGTCAGACTCGTAAATTCGCGCCACGCGCAAACAACAAAAATTGTCTCCCTAAGGGTAGGGTAGAGAGGCATCTCAGCTAACGTCAACAATTAGTATAAAATCGCCACTCTAAAGCTTATATCTTCCATAGGTGTTTGAATCTGATTTTTTGTATTTAACAGATAAGACTCTCTACTATATGCATAATATCATTTTGATCGTTTGCAAAAATATGACATCGCAAGCTATTCTTCCCGATCCCACCCTAGAAATAATCATTTTCGTACGCGGTCAGCGGTCGCAAAAGTTAATGGGAAATCCCTTCATATTATATGGTACAGGGAAACCAAAATGGCGGAAAAAGGCATTCCGGATTCGCAGAAGTTTGCTGTTTCTTAAACAACCAATAAATCTGAATTGCCATGAAGCTATCACCACGAGTTTTGCCTGGTGCGCTCAACGCTCAAAACAGAGGGGCTTGTGATTGGTGAGTAATTAAACTTATGAAGGTCTTGTTTTCTATGGGTTTCACTTATTGTACGGCTTGCAATAGCTGTCGACGTCGTAATGTACACTTCGCATCTATTATGAAGTGTCGAGAAAATTTAAGGATAGTTATGAAGAATTTTAGTGCATAAGTGTTAACTGTAGCAATAAGTTGAGGCAACAGTACCGCTTACTTGCTCTTTTAAGACTTCAACGTAACCACTCCATGTTTTTGATAACAAAGGGACAAACCCTCTTATACCCTTGTGGTATTCAACTAATGTACGAATTTATGAAAAAAAAAAAAAAAAAAAAACATGAAACATTAGCTAAATGTATTTTTGAGGTACAAAGCTGTTAAAATTTAAGCATGCGCTACCTTCTCTGTACCCTTGGCATGGGCAGAGTGATAATAATAAGTATAAAGTGTACAGAGATTATTACCACTGGTTAGGTTTGTGACTAACAGATGTTTGAACATGTAATGGTGTTTTGTTCAGGGGACGGCAGTCAATCATTGCCTATGGATGTCAAAATTTTGTGGTTGTCTTTGATCCCAAATCAGTTCAGGTAAGAGTTTAAGTACGTTAAGCCTTATACATTTAATTTATTGAACCAAAAAAAAAAATATATGATAATCAGCTGAAAAATGGATCATTTTATATCAGCCGTAAACATATCATGACTAGTGCCTGCAGGAAACTTGTCTTCCGTTTTTTTAGAGTATTCAAGCATTAACCTTATTAATCTTTAAAGAGTAAAATTTGTAACTTCTTAGCAAGTGTCATCATACAGCACTGGTTCCTTTAGCTTTAGTTAATATATGTTTATTATTAAATCTGGCATTGTATGTTGACATTCAATAATAGAAATTTAATACAGTTGAACCCACTGGTTGCGACCACCTCTCGTAAGCGACCACCTCTCCTCAGTGACCAGTTTTCCAAGATACCTAAAGTTTCCAAGTCAAATCACTATATTTGGAACCTCCTGTAAGCGACCACCTCTTGTAAGCGACCACGACCACTTTTAGAGCTAAAAGTTTGAAATTTTCTATAATTGTTTTTAACCTTGTGTAAGCGACCATTTAATTTTGACAGATAATAGAACAAATATTGGATAACAAGGTATTATAACATCATCACACTCCTGGATAGTACAAGAGATGGAAATTTCTCAATGGGAAGTACCGGATTTTTTCTCAAAATTGACTTTTTGCACGAATAAAACTTTTGAAACAGTCATGCAGTTACCATGCTAATGAGGTAAAATTTTGACCCAATATCGTCTAAGCTCTCATAAGCGACCACCTCCCGTAAGCGACCACCAAGGCTTGACATTTTAGGTGGTCGCTTACAGGAGGTTCAATTGTATTTGAATAATTTATAAAAAAGCTTCCTGTATATATCAAGTAGTAAAATTAGATATTATCTTAAGATTAATATTGTCACTTTGGTATGTTTTGACAGATTATTCAAGTACTTACTCAGCATACTGCCCCTTGTACAAAGGTAAGGCAAATGTTACATTAAAGGAAAAAAAAGGTTTAAGTTTACATACACGCCAAGTGGCCCATCGATGTTACATTTTCAGAGCTTCAGTAATGAGTACTAAGTTTTTTGCTCTCATCAACTGATAGTTATATTTTTAAGATGTTGGAAGAGTGCTTGCACACTAATACAGAATGAATACTGATTACTTGAGTAAAAGTTTCATATAGTTGTGTTCGTACAATAAGCAGTGAATGATTCGAGCCTTAAATAAACAGATGTTAAGTTGACAGCTGATAGTCAAGCATCTTAATTAACTATTTTGATGATCAAAACAACCATATTTCATTTGTGCAATTTTAGGTAAAGTGGGCACGCGATAATTACCACCATGACTTCAACTCGCCATATATCCTGCGTCTTGCCTCTGGTGATACAGCTGGCAATGTCATTGTCTGGGACATCTCCCAAGGCACTGCTGTGACAGAGTTTTCAGATGGAAACAGGCCAGTCTTGGACCTAGAATGGCTTGCAATTCAAGATGCCTGTCACGATCTCTTAGTAGTGCTTCATGCACCGTCATCAATGATTCTATGGAATGCCGACACTGGCACAAAGCTGTGGAAGAAGACTTTCCAAGAGCCATTATTGTGCTTTGCTTTTGATCCTTTTATGCCTTCAAATGTGACTTGTAAGTTTATTAGTTGTTTTTCAGGACATGTCAGTGTTGTATTTGGAATGACATTTTAGCAGACACCTTGAAATAAAAATTCTCTTTGCATTTGTTTAATTTAATGTCAGTTCAGAGAATTTGGTGCTAATTTCCTAAGTTGGTGACTTTTTACGCATATTGTAAGTTTTCTTCTTTCTTTGTGAAATACTGAACATCTCCATGTAGTACCTGGGAATATTTCTTCTGAACTGTCCTTCCAACAAGTTGTAGCAAATCTAACACTGAAAGGTATTTTCTTTCTCAATCTCAGTGATGTGTCAGGACTGGATTCTTTTCATCAATGATTTTTCCATCAACAAAGCACCAGATAGCAATGGCCGCAAGTTCTACCTGACAAGCACAGGTTCCACATCACCCAACGGCAGTTTTGTTGGTTCATCCAGCACTGGACAGGACAGTAAGAACATGGCCAAACCATCAACACCTAAGTCAGCACTTTCTAGGATGAGACTGTGGGCAGGAGGAGAATCCAAAACCAGGTGCAGAATATTCTCGATTTACACGATTGTTGAGTGTTGTGAGTTCTGGAGCTGTCTATGTTCCTTATTATAGCGCTAGCTCCTTGATTAGGTAAGGTGAAATGAATCCTTCACTGTGATTGGCTACTCGAGCAGCAAGATGGCGCTATCTTGCCCATACGGGATTACCTGCTGTGTCTGTATACTACTTCCCTTATTGACTAACTAAAGCTTGTTGAGTCAAGATGGCTGGATATTGGCCTCGTTCTTTTCTTTTTTTTTTTGTTTTTGTTTTTTGCCTTTCAAGGGACCTCAACTCCATCTTGGTCCATAGCTGATATGCAAACAAAGAACTTGGCCAATTTCCAGTCATCTTGACCTCATGCGACATGGTTGGTCAATAACCCATATATCATTAATTAAGAAATACACTTTACAGCGGAGCTGCGATTGCCCAAAGGACCTCTGAAGGGCTGCCAAGTGGAGCACCAATACCCATATAATATAGGAAAGAAAAGGAAACCCATGAGTAGATTTTATCCTGGTTATCATGGCTAGTGGTATTGCTCATGGGCACGGTGAGAGCCATGAAGATGATGGCAATGACGGTGTCACACAAGATGGCGACCATACTGAACTCCAGTTAATACTGTAGGTTGACAGAGACATGCAGCTTAGGTTTACAGTGTACTTCTTTGATATTGGACATCCATGTTACGATCAATTAACACCCATCAAAACAAAGTATATGCTTACCAGTTTCATGTGACCATATCGCGGGCTCAAGTTAAGAGCTATTCGAGATCACGTGTTTTATTGAAGTTGACTGCTGACCAAGTACTTGTTTTCTATTGGATCTTGGGCTCGTGCCAGGTTAACTTGTTGTAATCAGGAACCTTGCTCTTAGGCTTGGCTAAATCTATACATTTCTTAATTTTTCTGTTTCAGAACTGGAGAGGAGAGTGTTGCCCTTAGCGACTGCCTCCAGCTTGCATACCTTCCTTCAGCTCGTCACCATCTTTTAGCATTGTTTCCAAGAGAAGTAATGATCTTAGACATGGAAATAAACCAGGCAGTCTGCTCTTTCAGTCTGGAAAGAAACAGTCCCTCCTTTCTCCAAATCATCCCTTGCCAGCAACGTGATGTTCTCATGTGTTTGCATGAAAATGGCAGTGTGATTATGAGAGTGCGAAGACGTGTGGCAAACAACCCCTACTTTGTAACACCTGACGAGGAAGCTAATGACACAAATGCGTCAGTAGACATTATTTATGAAAACAAATGCCAGTCAGACCCCCTTCGACTCAGCAAGTCAAGCCGATTGTTTGGTTTCATGTGCTGTCCCACCAGTGAAAGAAAAGTTGCTTTGTTGATCAGCGATGGTAGAATGATCATATGGGAATTAAAAGCTACAAGGCTTCAAAGCACAGAGTCATCTCTCATGTCAGAAGAAGCTTTGAAAGCTTCATTACCTTGCGATGCAGACCTAGACCACTTGCAGTGCAATACAAATCCCAGGTTGACTCTTGCTGACATGGTTCCACCGCCTCTTACCTCTGGAAGTGTGATTCCAAGTTCTGCACATTTCAAGTTCATCATGGTTGTCTTGTCGAATGCTGTGTCATCACCACCAACTTGCTCCGTCATGTGTCCACCCTTGACGACCAAAAACTGGGCCAGTTACAAACCACTTATAGCTGTTGGTAAGAATCTTACCTGAATATAGAATGGCTAAATATGCTGAGAAATAAAATCAACCCTTTATAATTTCAAAACCGTAGTCTTTCAAAATCAAAGTTAAGAAACTTACCACTTGCATTCTTGTCCAATCCAGCACATGAGGCTTTGGAAGGTCGTGAACATAATTACCGCTGAAACCCTTAAATCATTCTAACTACAGGATTTGAGACTGCCCCTTTGCTAGTTAAAAACATTTTTCATCTTTATCTGTGTGTTGGGAAGGTGAGGAAACAGAGCAGTGACATGTACAAAGACATTTGTTTCTGCTGGGGTTACTTGTACCCTAATAAAATTAGCATGTGCATAATTATACTCAGTCTTTCAGCCAGATGGGTGTCCAGGCATCTTGTGGATGGCCACTTTCTATAGAAAAATTATTTTGGTTTTCATATGCTGCCTTATAACTTGCTCATTGAGCAGGCTCTGCAGCACATTTTGGATGGCCACTTTTCAAATGCTGGCTAAAGGCATGCTTACATAATGAACATTATTTTAAACATTTTCTTGACCAGTAAGTTATAATTTATGTCATTCCCCTAGGAAACAACCAGGGTTGTGTTCAGATTTTTAACCTTGGCACTGGCTTGCTTACCAGAGAATACACCATTCACACTGGAGCAGTCAAGTGAGGAAAAGTTTCAGCTTTTATTTACCTTTACACTGTATTACAACTGCTTTCACTGATCGATGACAAAACAGTGAATTATATATTTTTTTGTTCTTGCAGAGGAATTGCCTGGAGCAACTTGGACAGTTTCTTTTCCTGGGCCCAACCATCTGGGAGTTCATCCAAGAATGAGTTACAACTTGTTAGCATAAGAACTGGTACATGCGAACAATGAGCTATTTCAATAAATTTTTTTGCTAATGTTTCACTATCTTTAGAAGAACCTTAGTGTAATCATGTCACATGTCTCTCAAGTAGTGAGAATTGTTTTTTCTTTTTTTCTTTTTTTCTTCTCCCAGGTCAAACAACTCTAATCGAGCTTGGCAAAGCAGCGGCAGAATCTGCTGTTGAGGCTGTGAAGGTGTCCCATCTCAGGTGACTAAATAATTAAATAATTGAAAAAATAAAAATATGTAATTATACCAGGACAGATAATCCCCCATTGCCTTCCTTTGGTAAGCCACAACATAATTAGGAAGCAATATTGTCAGAACTTTGGGTGTAGGGTATCCATGGGTGTCCTAAGTTTGTAAAATTTCATTTTGTCCATTTCTTGCACATGGCAGGCAATACTTCCTTGTAATAATCAAGGACAGACCACTACAGCTCTGGGATTTAAAGAACCTTACAATGCTCAGAGAGATGCCATCAAACTTTTCATCAGTCACAGCTCTGGTATGTTAGTGTACATATTTTGATTACAGTTGATACTATTGATGGAAATCATTAGAGACCTGCTCTACATGTATATCCTCATGCTCAAATCTACATGTACCCTCGGTTAGTCTAGCGGTTTCGCTACTGAGATGTACTGTAGTGTCATGCTTAATTTTGCATAGAGAGAAGTGTTGTGACTAACTGGCCATTCATTGAAATGAAACTTCTATTTGGTACTGTGGGAAGGCCTACATGTACGTGTAGAATAAACTGGAGTTCAGTAGATCTGGTGCTGTTTGTTTCTTGTTATTTTGAACGTTAGTACATGTGCCCTTAGCATTAGTGATTTGCAGTCTTGTCTTTTCATTAGGAATGGTCTCCATCTCATCACTCCAAACACCTGAAGAAAAAGCTGAGTCAGCAGCTGGAAACAAGTCCTTCTGGAATTGCTGCTAATGTTCTGGATCCAAACAAGACAGACCACACACCGACACAGGTAGAAGTGTTTCCCCTAGCTCTCACACTCCATTGTCTACTTGGCTGTTGATAACAGATTGATCAAGTAAAATCAATCAAACATACAACTGTCATTTGGTAATTATTAAATTAAAAATACTCTCTTCGAATTAATTAAACAAGTGTTCTGATTGGGCAACCGTTTCACAACCATTCCAAAGTAATATCGATGTACAATTTTTGAAATTTAATTCTAAATTAAGCCAGGATTTTCAAGGCTTCCAGTAGCATTCTCTTGCACAGAAGAAAGTAGTTTGAACCCGTTATTTAGTTGGTTGCAGCATTACTGACCTGTTGGCTCTAGATTTTTCACTGTGTTGAAAAACATTATTGAACAAAAGTCAAATTTCAGTTTTCAATCATTTCTAAGTACAATTAAGAAATTTAAAAGATTAGCTAAAAATGAACTGTGTTTTTTTACATGTAGGATGGATTAACTATAAGTGAAGTGAAGTGTTCATAACTATGTTAGTTATTATTAAGTTGAAACTTTGTAATCTTTTAATCTGTAAGGTAAGTATTATTATTCTAATTTAAGGGTGAAATAACCTGTAGCAGGAGTCCTTAATAAAGCTAAATTGCATTGTATTGTATTTTCTCGTCTGCCCCTGTAGTCTACCATTGTCTTGTGATCACAGACATTTAAATGAAATATTTTGTTCTTCTTTGTTTGTTTGTTTACAGTCCTGGTTAAGAGAACACTTTGTATGTGTGGATCAAGACAGACTGTTGTATCATTTTCTTGTGGAAGGGACAGTGGTTAAGGATGGCTCCAAAGTCCAGTGTGATGTAAGTGTGGTTCTGTTTTAATGGAGATTGTATTTTAAACTAAATAAATTTGTTTGTCTATTTTGAATGAAGATCTAGTTGTTTACAGCATCGGCAAATGAGTTATTTTCTGTGTTGGCAGAGCACCCTTGGACTTGTCACATACATAGCCTGGAAAGGTGATTTGTTGGTGTTGAGTGATGTAGACGGCAACCTGAGCATTTGGGAATTAAAAGCCAGAATAACAAGGTAAACATTATTACATGTAGTTGACATGTTTGCAAAACTGGGAATTCATCTGTCAGTGTTTAGTTCATTGATCATTTACTCATTTACCAACCATTGTTACACAACAATGATATTGCCGACTTTTAAAAAAGCTCATTAGTGTCACTTGCCTTCAGTTCTTGACTAATATTTACTGTCTGTTTTTGTCTGTTTATTAGCTAAGAAACCACATAATTATTATTAAGTTAATGCTATGTCTACTTTTCTAGGAAAATATTTAAGAATGTACTGTCAGCACTTGCACACAGGAAGGATAATTTCTCACATGTGTTTTGTTCTTGTTTTCTGTAATGTTACAGAAGTATAGCAACACACAGAGGTCACATCAAGAAAATCAAGTTTGGTCCTGGCCGAGGAAATAACAAGCTTGCTGTGCTCTTTAGTGATGGGGTGGATATTTGGGATTTACAAATGGTATCTGCAATTCATTTACTAAATAACTTTATAAAATAACTCAGATACTATGCGCACTCTCATTGGGCGATAGGTATGTTTACATGAGAGTATGTGAACACAGTTGTGATGTTTTAGATTTGCACGTAGTTTTCAGAAATATAGCTCTTAAAACAAATATCAAATCACAATATTTGAGCAATAGAACACTTTTTCCGTGTTAAAATAACCTCATCTAAACACTTGGGGGGCTGGGAGAATTCTTGAAAGTTATGCAAACTCTTGAATACTTTGCATAGCTGTCTTGAATTCTCTGAACCCACCTCGTGTTTAGATGAGGCTATGGTAAACACAGAAAAAGTTCTCTATCGCTAAAATATTGTGATTTAAAAATTATTTTAACAGCTGACACCGAGATAAGATAAAGAAGCAGTCTCCATGTCATTTAGTCAAATGTTATTTGAATCTTTTCTAAAAATCCTATCTTGATTATTTTTTCATAAGTTTGAGATTTACAGCAGCTACAAGCTGCCAAAGGATTCTCCACCACTTGCTGACATGGACTGGCTGGCTTCAGATTTACCAATTGCTACTCATTCCAATGGGGCCATTTTTGTTATGACTATGGACCTGAAAAGCTCCTCCTCAGCTATGGCTCAGATGGACCTAGATGGTATGTTCCTTTGCCTTGACCTGTCTTACATGTGCTCCTTCAAAGTTTTGCCACAGTTCTTATAACTAGAGCAAGTTGCTGGCATATGCTGACAAAGTATTATTAGTGGAATAGCTAGCAGATATATGTGTAATATAAAGTTTTGCGTAGAGTCTGGCTTGCCAGGAAAGAACCACTGAATTTCCAGAAAATACAAATAACATACTTTAAGCCTATTTGGCAGACTTTTGTAGATGTATCATGATCTGAGTTTGCATATTAAGTAAAGATTCTCTAACTAAATGAAACTGCCTTATTTGCTTTTAATTGTTTAACTTAACATATATCTTACACTCTTGGAATCTTTCCTTTTTATTTCCTGGAAATTTCAACTGAAGATATATTAGGCGCACACTGCGCCAAAGAAATTTGAAAAGACAGCTTTATTTCTACCGTTAGGCCTACCGGTCCACACTAATCTATCGCGAAAACGACAAAAAAACAGTTTGAAAACGAAGGTTTTCCAAAATGATGAGGTCACGATAAGTTTGTGATTTCCCTAGTTACCCAACTTTTCCTCAAACGCAAATCTAAAATGACCGATGATTGTTGCGTTTTTAAGCTTCCTCGGCGTAGTGTGGACGGAAAACATTTGATGCGTTTTCAGTGTGAAAACACCGTTCTCAGACTTCTCCGGCGTAATGTGGACGGGACCCTCATGTGCCTTTAGAGTAGCTGACTTTTGTTTTATCACTGTGAAGGTCCTTTGTGGTGCCCTCACATCATGGAACCAAAAACAAGTCTCATTCTGAAGTCCATTCTGCAGCACCCACTGGGAAGGGACCAATACTCTTTTACAGACATTGCAGACTTGTAAGATTTTAGTTGATTTATTGATTTTGCCTTTGTTGTTGTAAAAGGCAAAGTTTTCTGTTCTTTTCTAAATACCAAGGAATATTTTTGCAGTTTGTAATACATGCTTCTGTACTATTACGTTGTCTGTAACAGCATTCATTAGATTTGAATTTGCTTATCTGTAAAGACAGGTTAAATATGATAGCAAGGTCGATTTGCGTTCAATCAACGGGCCATCAATCATATTAGCGGAATTTCAGGTAGCAGAGGTTTGCTTCAAAGGGTTCAAAAGGTCACGTTTGTCACGGTCTTGTGATTGGTAGATTTCGATCCATTTTGTTTGTCTTCTTTTTTTAAGGTTCATTACTCATCTAATTATGATTGACGCCAGCCAAAAACGCAATTATGGTTAGTTTGGGTTTGAACGTCAGAGTTCGCGTGTTATTGGAAAGCGCAGCAAGTGTACATAACAGCATATCCTGTTACTAGATTTAAAGAAAACGTGCTATCCAGGCGGTAGTGAATCAGACTTGAACGTTGTGTAATGCCAGGTAACTGTAGGATCACAAAAACGTCTTTATCTTATCTTACCTTTGGTAACCTCGCCTTCCTTCTAATATTTTAGGGAATTAAAGAAAGAAGAATCAGTGACTGTAATTCAGGACCAACTTAAAATGATTCCACCGTAAGTATAACACACTTGATGTAGAAATTGTTTCATCACTTTTTACAAGCTATCTATCATGCAAGACTCATTATTTTGACAGTCAAAATATTTTATAGGATTACTGAGGGTAGTTATGCCTAATGCAAACTTTACTTTAGTTACTAAAACAAGACACACTTAAGCCCCACGCATCCTCTCTTCGTTCGTTCGAGAGTTGACGCAAGAAGAGACGATCAAGGCAATATTATATGCCTATAGGGGAGTTTATTCTGAAGGTTATATTTCGGAAGTGGCTGTGAAAACTAGTAATCGGTTCTTCTAATAACGATTGTGTATCACTTTGTATTCTTCAGGAATATTGGAGAACTGCTGCTGAATTCAACGTTGGGAACTGCACAGAAATGTTACCTTGCAGCACAGTAAGTTAAATACGGAGTAGCAGGCATCGTAAACCTTTACAGCAAACAAACCTTTGATACCATTTTGGTCGTTTCGTTAGGTAGAGAGACAATTTGAGAGGATGTGTATTGCTTTCAAGGGAACTGGTACTCACACTGGTTCCCAGTTCCCAAATCGTAAGACTTCCGTGCCCCACTTTCCACCCCACCCCTCTCCCCTTCCCGCCACAACATCGTATTTGATTTTGAGTAGGTCTTAAAAAGACACGAATTTTGAAACTGAAATCCGTCTTTCCGTTGAAATGCACTTTTCAGTTTGTTTGGAGACGAAGCAGAAACAGTGTTTTGGCAAGTTGCTCTTCACTACCTCCGACGAGAAAAGGCCAGACTGTTGTGTTCAAAACATAAGGTAGGTAAAATCAATCACGGTTGTTATAAATATAATATCTTGTATGTTGCTGTTGATTGTGGATTTTATGTAAAAACTTATCTTCTAGTCGGATCATCAACCCTTGTACAACCGAGCAAGGTCGTACTCTGCTGACCTATTCAACCCTTCTGAAGCCACGGCCAAACTCAGACGGAGCTTCAGTTCCAGGAGCCTGGATCTACTTTCAATCGACGATGACCTTGAACTGTGTGGCCAAGGGGAGAATGGTGCGAGCGAAAACGAAAGCTGTTGCTGTTACCCAGTCTCCCTCGACACTTGTTATGGCATCATCAGTGACACAGATGCATTCCAGGTAAGGTTTGATTTAGAAGTAGGCTATTTAGAAGTAGGCTATTTTTTCGGCTGGTACGGAAATACACTTAGCCTCTCACCCCAACCCCCTCTGAATCAGTGTTAAATGTAAAGGTTTCTATTAACCATTTCTCAATCATTCTCTTTTCTCAGAGAAGTCAGCTGGACCGTCTCGCTCTTCATGACAGCAAGAGATCCACATATGATCACACAAGAAAATGCGCTGAAACTCTGGTGCTTTTAGGACAGGTGGGAACGTTGTTAGTACTGATAAAATTATAGCAATGAAATTGAAAATCACGATAAGCACTGCAACAGTAAATCATAGGAATGTTTACTCGATAGCTTGACTTGTCTAATGAACTTCCTCATCAAGTGTTAGACAAACTGTAAATCCAACCCGTCTTTCTGCTTACGTTGATACACATTCTGTTCTTGTTGTAGGCCGACAGAGCAGTGCAGTTGTTCCTTGAGACAGACGCTGTTAATGATAACTATTATGTGGACTCTCTCAGGTGAGGCCTTTGAACACGAAAATCTCGCCAGTATTTAATGGAAATAAACGATTTATAGTTAATGTAGCATAATTTTAAAGTTGTACTTGTGGCGACTACGTGTGTTTTGCACTGCGGTTTAACTCCCTAATTCTTCAACATTTACTATTTGCCGTGAAAGTCTCCGTCTTCACTAGTGGTAATCTTAGCTTGTCCAAACATTTTTCCCTGTGATTTTCTTTGTTCTTTACCTTCATAGAGCTTGTTTAGTGGCAACCATTCGCTCCTCGGGTGCTTCGCAAAGCACAATAAAACTTGTAGCGACAAATCTCATCGCGAGCGGAAAACTAGCAGGTGAGCTTTATTGCGCTGTATATTGTGTACTGTTTTGAAGTCATGTTTATTTAGGCCCGGGGAAGGGGAGATGCGGGGAAAGGGGGTGAAGGTAAGAATCCTTGTGATTTAGGGCAGGAATACAAAAGTCATGTAACTTTCGTTTGGATAGTTCGTTTACGCTTCTAAATACACGGCTAGACAATAAAACAGGTTTTTCCAACAGTGGTGTTGAACATGTCTGATGTTTGGCCGCCCTTAACCAGAGTTTGAATGAAAATGATTGAATTACAGAACGATGTTTGATCGTTAATGGCCGGTTCTTGGCCGCAATGCCGAATAAAAGTGTTTTATCATTTGGCTAAAATGTGAACGAGACATACGGTATTTAACTGGGACTGTTCAGGGATGAAGAGTAGCTCTTGATAGGGGGCGGGGGAAGCCATACCTCTAATATTTTTATGCTGGGTTTGTTGGAATTATTCACCGTAATTGTGAGTTATTACGTAGCAACAGCAGATCAGGCCTGTGTATCTTGTACTCTAACTTGGTGGATATCAGCGGAGACGTTTTTTCTCCATTTATTTACTTTTTTTTTTAACTTTACACCGTTGGTATTGTCTACAGAGGGAGTTCAGCTGCTGTGCTTGATTGACAAGGGACTGGATGCCTGCCGTTATCTTCAGACTTACGGTGAATGGGATCGAGCAGCCTGGCTCGCAAAGGTAACACGTTTATCTCAGCATCAGTGTCTTATTCACTATTTTAACGCGTCCATCGGAACACTCACTGCACTTCCCTATCTATAGACAGTTTCTTAAGTACCTAAACATTGCAACTCTGATGAAGGTGGACAGAAGCCAACAAAAAGTCAGAGCAGAAAACAACAGATCGGATAACAAAAATGAATAAGGCATAATTTTCTAAGTTTATTTTCTAGAGGATCCTAGAGGTTTGAGTCAATAGCCGGTGGACATCCTCTTTCATTCTCTCTTTCATACCTAATGTGTATTTTACAGCCGAAACGTCAGTTTAGAGTTACACTTCTCCCGCTCTTAATGTAAAAATTTTCCCTTTATACCTGGGAGACATATTCAATACTGAACATTACATTAATCCCGTACTTTCGGTCTGCACTATACGATTTGGATCCTCCTTGTATCTCGTCGGTTTTATATATCCCGGGCTTCGCGCTTGGGCCATAAATCGACTGGGAAACACTTGTTCCGTACCTAAACGCACAGCTTTCGAAGTGGATTAGTAGGAGGCCTAGGTACGTGTGATATCTTGGTTTGTAATGATCATTCTTGCAGGCCACTCTCAACTATCCTGACTGTGCCGAGGTGATGAGAAGATGGATTGAACATCTGTCCAGTACTCACACGAGTCAACAGGTCATTACGTCTTGTCTGCATGTAATACTTTACCATGTCTACAATACAAGTACAGATAGAAACCTTCTCGGTCTTACTTGTATCTTAACAATCCGTACAGTTGACGAGGAAGCTAAGAAAACATGTTGACTCTTGGAGAAATCGAATTAAGCAGCGTCTACACTACGCCGGAGAAATTTGAAAACGCAGCTTTATTTCTACGGCAAGGCCTACCGTCCACACTAATCCGTCACAAAAGCGAAGCTTTTTTTGCACGCTCTTCAAACCGGAGGGATTTGATAACACCGTCTTTGCGTTTATGTGTGGACGGAAAGCATTTTGAAAACGGAACTTTTCAAAAACGAGGGTGTCACTATGATTTCCCCGACCGAGTTTTCCTCAAACAAAAATCCAAAATGACGGGTGATTGTTGCGTTTTTTAACTTCTCCGGCGTAGTGTAGACGGAAAACATTTGATGCGTTTTCAGAGTGAAACCTCCGTTCTCAAATTCCTCCGGCGGGGCCTTAGACCCGGTGTGTGGCTGAATTCAGGAGTTTCAAAGAACTCTCTTCCCATACCTTATAGGGCGATGTGTTAATTTATCTCTATATGAAAACAAATCAGACTTTTTCGATTCGTTATGCAGTAACAGACGTCTTCTGTGTTGTACAAGTCAAGGAATACGGTGTGGATAATATTGGGTCAACGTAACGTACGTGTACTGTGCTTTTTGTGATTTCTTGCAGAGCAAGGCTGTGTTGGTGTTGTTGTCTTTAGGAAAGTTCTACAAGGCGCTAGATATGCTCTACAGGTATTGATCATGTAACAAATAAATGGTTTACTTCAGTTAAATTCAAAACTGGTTGTTATTTCAATGCTGTGATGAACTTTTGATTCGTTCTCCTTGTTTGCAGCATGCGTTATTTTGACCGTGCAGGGTTGTTCGCAGAAGCTTGTCAGGAGTATGGCTTCCTTTCTCCAAGCGACGAAAAGAACAGTATCCTTTTCACAATGGCTGTTTGTTGTAACAGAAGTATTTTAAAGTGAAAGTTGACCACCTTAAGTGATGTTTAGGAACTGAGTTAAACTCGGCTTGTTAATTCAATCAGTTTGATTTTATTGGAAAAAGTTGTTCACTTTCTATGAACAAACACAGTGGTTTCTTCATGTACCTTCAGAGCGAAGCGCGATCGTTAACTTTCTCCAACTGAGCAAGCGCAAGTTAACATGAGTGCGACGCGCAAGAGTTACGCATCGCGTACAGGAAGCGGAAGTCAAAATGATTGGGAAACGTTTCGCCGCAATACACGGTTTGCGTGTTGCCCTCGACACCCGCGCGTGGAACACGCAACAAATATATTATTACGAATATGTTGCCGTGCGTCTGTTCAGTTATAGATCACAGATGACGTCAAAAATGAGATAAGAAGTAAAAGGGAGCACACGAGGCGATAGCCGAGTGTGTCACCGATGTTCTTACAACATACTGAACAGACGCATGTCAATATGGAACCTATCTATTTATTTTATAACTAGTTACATGAACAAGAACATGCTAATGAAGTCGTCCATACGTCTGTCCTCCAATTGAGCATAAGTAAGAACCAATCAAACTGTCTCACTTTGTGAAATACTCGTGCAAAGAGAAACTATAAACTTGAAGCTAAGCACGAAGTGTAACAGTTGATACGTTACTTAAGACTCATCCTGCGTATTGGTTTAAGCTCTCAAATGAGGGTTTTTACTCTGTTAGGTGTTGTTCACAATTTACCATTTTCCTTAACACATGTTTAGCTGCTCTTGTGCACGCAGTTTACACAGAGTATGCTCGCTATCTTCACGGTCTTGGACTTGAAAAGTCTGCTTATTTCTTTGCTAATAAAGCTGGACCTAAAGCAAGACAACTACTGGATGGAATGTAGATAACATAAAATGACTACAGAAATACTGTTATATAACAAAAAATAAGATTCCTGAATGAAATGAACTGAGACTGCGATTAAAAAGGAGATTTTAACAGTATGGAAGGAAACAAGATTTAGAGAAACTATAATAACTCAAAATTAATAAACAAAGGGCAAGAAAAAAGTGCGTGCCAGGTGGGGTGAATATTTTTATTAGAATTACAAAAGTTTTCCACCGTCATTATATCTGGTTTTCGCTACTGAGGACCAACTTCCAAGTATTCAAATTATGTCTACAACTATTATTAAACCAAAACGTTACAGATCTGTTGAAATTCTAAAACAATTTCGTTGATATATATAAATGACAGATAAATTATTGGCGTTGTGCTGTAAGGGAGTGTTTTTATTACATTTACCTGAGATCACACACAAAAGAGGACAAAATATCCCACTTTGAACTACCAAAGAGTGTTTGTAACTGCTGAAGAGGACAATGAAGCCCCGTTACCCTGAAACCGCATCAAATGTTTTCAGTCCACACTACGTCGGAGGAACTTAAAAACGCAACAATGGCCCGTCATTTTTGATTTGGGTTTGAGGAAAACTCTGTCATGAAAATCAAATGGTTATCGTGACGCCATCGTTTTCATAGAGCTCCGTTTTTAACAAGTGTTCCGTCCACACGAAGACGAAAAGCCGGTGTTTTCAAATTCCTCCGGTTTTAAGATCGTTTGCGAAAAGCTCCGTTTTCGTGACGCATAGACCTGACGGTAGAAATAAAGCTGCGTTTTTAAATTTCTCCGGCGTAGCGTGGACGCTGCCTCAAATTGTCGATTAATATGGTCAAAACTATGTACCAGCTACATTGAACAAACAAGTACATGACGTTTTTTCAGCCTCTTTACTTATGGCTTTAGTTACATTTAAAGCGTAGTTACATTAGCAAAGCAAAGCAAACAAAAGCATTCCGGCTTTTAAAGCTCTTTGGAAACCCACTCCGTAGGTAACTGATGGGAAAGCCGGTAACTCGTGGACAAAGGCAGGCTCGGCTTGACCATTTGTTACAAACGTGTTTCCTCTGTTCTCTAAACATTTAAGAAAAATAAACTTAGTAAATTGTCTAAATTGCTTTTCTTGACAAAAATATCACTTCTAGCACAACAAAAACGCAACAAGGGCCTAGGACCTGTTTAAAACAGGCCCACCTCACCAGACGGCTAATGGTACAGTTTTGAAGATAGAAAACATGGCTATAGCCCAAAATGGCTAGCAGAATCGTAGCTTGCTGCGGTCAATCCGCACACTATGACTGTTTACAAAATACCGTATTTTCCACTGCGTCCGCCCCCCCCTGCGGAGTCTGCGGAGTAGCCCATGGGGTAATCCACGGAATAGCCCGTAGAGTAGTCTGCAGAGTTGTCCGTAGGATAGTCTACGGAGTAGCCCATGGGGTATTCCACGCAATAGCCCGTAGAGTAGTCCGCGGAGTAGTCCGCGGAGTAGTCCGTAGGATAGTCTACGGAGTAGCCCATAGGGTAATCCACGGAGCCCCGTAGAGTAGTCCGCAGAGTTGTCCGTAGATAGTCTGCGGAGTAGCCCATGGGGTAATCCGCGGAATAGCCCGTAGAGTAGTCCGCAGAGTTGTCCGTAGGATAGTCTACGGAGCAGCCCATGGGGTAATCCACGAAATAGCCCGTAGAGTAGTCCGCAGAGTTGTCCGTAGGATAGTCTACGGAGTAGGCCATTGGGTAATCCACGGAATAGCCCGTAGAGTAGTCCGCAGAGTAGTCCGTAGGATAGTCTACGGAGTAGCCCATGGGGTAATCCACGGAGCCCCGGAGAGTAGTCCGCAGAGTTGTCCGTAGGACTACTCTACAGGCTATTCCGTGGATTACCCCATGGGCTACTCCGCAGACTATCTACGGACAACTCTGCGGACTACTCTAC